CGTGCAGAGTTTTCGTGCACGCAGAAATTCGCTGCGACAAATTGAAATCGAATGGTGCTGCTTTTTCGCTGTGCCAGAAAGGCGAAGAACAAACATGAATAAGTAGCGAAATAAAGTACACGGAGAGAGAAGAAGTCGGCGATGTGTTTTTTCTCTCTCGCACTCACTCTGCGCTCGGCCGGCAACTCACTTCATACGCCCGATCAATACTTTCCGCCGACGAAAATACGGCTTTTTATATATTTATTTGGCCCCACTCAGAAGATATATGAAATTGACTTAGAGTTGTGCTGGCGAGCAGAAAAATAAAGTTTTTACTGGAAAAATTTCTTGCGGAGATTAGAAATTAAGTTATGGGGGACGATTGGCTGTTTTGCGTCGAAGACGGAGGAGCCAGTTTGCTGTGAGATTTGCAACCTTTGCTGAAAGTATCTAAACTTTTGGTAGTATTTTCCCTTCTCAGTAATTTTTTTATATTCATAAATGACATTTAAACTTTACTGCACAGCAATAAATATAAAAGTTTTCAAAGTTTCCTTATTGATGTATCATTAATCATTACAAAATTATTTTGAAGACATATTTGCAAGTGATGCCAAAAAAACTTCTTCACTAAATTCGGAATTCTTAGCATAAAATTTGAGTTCAACAAACATAATTAAATTATTGAAATAAATAAAAATTAAAAATCATAAAATTATATTTGATTTTATTACATAAAATTTCCCTCTTTCCGAAATGTATTTTATTTTGAAAATAACTATTTTTTGCCTTTTACATTTTACCAAATTGACTAAAAATGATTTCAAGAAATTTAAGTTATTTTAAATCTACTTCATTAATTAAAACTGTGAATAAGCAGCAGAAAAATAATAAAGGTTAAATCCAGTTAAATCGACATATTAAAAATATTATTTTATGCTGTTTCAACTTTTTTTAATATATTATTTATAACCAAGAATTACTGAAATTAGGGTTATAAATATTTGAAACTTCCCTTTTTATCAGCTTTGTAAAAAATAAAACTCTCACCCAGTGTTTTCAAGACTTTCTCTCCTTTGTCTGAAAATTTCCTCCCTCTGCCTTTAATGCACTCGCCAATCCCGCGGCGGAAAAGAAACTTCTCTTTTTAGCGCAAATTTCGGTAAATAACTCCGCCGTCTGCTTTTCTGAAAGAATATAAAGGTGAGTTGGCGAGGGACTCGCAGGCATTTTCCTTATTAGCCTTTTCGTCGGCGGCGCCTTCCATCAAACTTTTCGCAGCCTCTCGCAGGGGCCTCTTCTTCTTCTGCTACTGCTGCTGCGTTGTTCCAAATGAAAATTTAATGACATTTAACCTCATCAGCCTTTTTCCGCGCGCGCCCCGCTCGCACAGCATGAAAGCCATTGAGTCCCTGGCGACGCGCAAAGTTAAATTCGCACTCCGATTTCGTCTGCAGCAGCCTCCAGCGCCGCGCCCATTGTTTCAAAACTCCGCCGCCGACTCAACACGCTTTTATCGCCAAAGTATTTGATTTGGAAACGAGGCGTCTACGAAGCGCTGCCATTCTCCTCCCACAAAATTCTCAAATATATCAACTGTGAATTCAATTTTTGAAAGAAAGATAGTTAAAGAGAATGAAAGACATACATTTTTTCAACAGTATAAATAATGTTAGCTATAATGGAAGTGATTAATATTTTACGAAATGTGCTGCGGAAAAATCAAGAATATTAATTACATTGTTTTATGATTATGCAATACATTTTCCTTTTTTTTTTTAAATTTGTGAAGAGCGATGGGTTGAAAATATTTACAAAAAAAAAAATTCTTTAACTTAATTTAGTTATCTATAAAAAAAACTATACTTGATCTATAAAAAAAAATTGTAAACACTTGATTAAAAGGAATTTTTTTCTAGAGCTATAAATGAACAATAATGGAATAAATATATTATTGGGAAATTTTGCAAATATCAAAACAATATATATTTATGTTAGAATAAAAATATCATTTTCAACTTATTTTTACACTTGCTTGCAAAATATCAACGCCAGACGTTGCTTTGATGAAGCACTACCGTGCTAATTATACGTCTGAGTCAGACCGTCCGTAACTCTACCTTGCAGACGATTTTGTTACTTCCAACCCTCCGTCAAAGGCACTCGCAGATTCGGCCCTTATTCAAATACGGACAGTTTGCTCCCTCAAGCTCTCCTCCCCACTCACCCTGTTAATTTGATTCGTCGCCACTAATTGCTTTCATTCATCCGTGCTGATAAATAATGCAGAATCGTGATTAGCGCACCGGTCCATGTACTCGGCCGGCTGTTAAGTCCGTTTCCCTTTCTCTGCACGAGACGGACGAAAGTTAACTCCGATGAAAACCGCACCCGACTGCAGCAGCTTCTGCTCGGATCGGTGGTTTTGGCTTCGCTCAGCACATTCATCTTGCTGGCGAGGGAAATTTCGATTGCCGATCGTGATAAGACCTTTGAAATCTATATAACTCATCCGCTTGAAAGTTTGTTCCCGAGTTTCTCACTCGGCCTTTGGGTAAATTTTCCAACGGACGGAAAAGTTGCGACCCCTGACACTCTTTTTTAATCATCAGACGTTTGGAACGTGATTTTGACGCAGTTAGAGGGATGATCGCTGTTGGAGCGATTTCTGAACTTTTAATGGGCTTTGCATGGTTTGCGGAAGTGCGGAAGGGGGAAAAACCAACGATCACCGTTAATAAACTGTGATCAAAAACGCAAACAATAGATTACAGAAAATTTCAGTGACAATTTTTTTAACCGGCTACTTTTAAGGAGAAAGAATTTAGTTATTATTTTTTATTGTTTTTTTCAGATCGTGTTTTTCAATGAATTTTCAAGCGACTCATTTTATCATTTATTGTTACTGATAAGATTTAAGTTTGCTATAAAGAACAAAAAGTGTTTTAGATAATATAATTTTTACATTGAAATTTTCTTTTGGATCTCTGCAGTCAGCAGGTCTTATTTTTTATATAATTGAAACCATGCAGGAAAAGTCTATCATCAAAAAAAGAACACATATTTTGCTGAAATTTGCAAGGCGGTGCTGGTTCAGTCAGTTGGCAAGCAACCACTCTCTGCACATTTTGTTGTTGCATTTCTGCAGAGCAAAAGACTCTTTCATCTCAACATGGTGCTCGCGGACGTCCTCGCGGACGTCCTCGCGAGGGATTATTAATGAGGGCTTGTGCAACGCCAGCAATATTTCCACGAGTGCGCAAAAACAATAAATATTAGTGTGCTCTCGAATAGCAAAATCAGTCCATATGCCATATTTTGCGGAAAAAAGGCATGAATACAAATGGTCTTATGCAGTCATGCGGCTAAATCAGCCTGACAAGTTGACAGCAACAATTACAAACAAAATGCTTGTCTGTATAATAAAACCATAAAGTGCAATCATTCACCCGGCGCGGAGAGATGGAAATTCCTTTTTATGTGCGACGTGTTTTATGCGCCGACGACGATTTATATTGGTTATTTCGCTCGCAGACTTTGGCATGTGAGTCGTTTCATTTCATGCCAAGCGCACTTTTAAAAGAATGACGAATGTGCTCTTGACAATTCTAGGGAAGAGAGCGAGCTGTAAAATCTAGTTGTGTATAAAAGCGAAAAGTTAATAGAGAACGGCAAAGTTTCCTTACACAACCGAGAGGCATAATTCAAGCTTTTTATCATTTTTTTTTTCATTGCGAAAATTTCTTCAGTTATAAATTAAAAAAGAAAATGCGCTTAAGAAATTGACTAAAATTTTATTTTATATTTATTTCTTATTTTTTGCATTACAATGATCTATCAATATGCGACAAAGAAGATTCCTTTGTAAAAGTCTAATCATTTTTTTTTTTTTCAATTTTAATATGTGTTATCGACTGGAAGGTTAATCGAGAAGAGCGTGAGGGAACAACCAGGATTACAATTGTTTCCTGAATTTTAAAAATTAGTCTTGTAATCCTGCAAAAACTAATCGACAGGCTTAAAATGCATATCAGGACTGCAGAGAGTTCCTGGATTTTATAAGTTTTTCATTTAAGCCAGCAGAAACTAATCGACAGGTTTGAAAGACCTTTAGGATTACACGGATTACACTAAATTCCTGGATTTCATTTGTTACATATACCTGCACAAACTAATCGTCAAATACATCACTCGAAGGGGTTTGCATTGGGGTTTATTGAAATGTTTACTAGTCTTAAATTTAGATCTGTTATATTTTATTCTTATACATAGGGACACAATGAAAATTTAAAGTTTAAGAACAAAAACATAATTATAATAAAACTCTAATTTAATTTAGAATGGAGATTAAATAATATAAAAAGTTATATAATGTGAAAACTTTATTTATTTAATTACAATATATTTATTTTTTCTGTTTTCAAGATTTTGAAATATTACTCTCTTTCCTTGCTTTTATTTTTTATTACAGAAATCATTACAAGAACTTAGTAACACATAATATTGAGAAGGATTATAAAACTTTTAATTATTCTCCATTTCACTTTGTGACCTAAAATTTTTACGAGTTCATTGGCTATGAAGCATAACTTTGATTCATACATTCCAAAATTTACTTCACCTGACAATACAGAATTGGCGTTCAAAATTTTTAAAATACAGAAATCACCTGCTTACTTGATGCTGGTCTCTGATGGTGGCGTCGTGGTTATCAATTAATTCTTGAAGGTCTATGAACACAATTTTTAAAATCTATAGGAATCATTTGATTGCTTGACTAGAAACGTGCTGCAAATTTCACAATCCAGATCTGCTTAGTCAACGTCAATCCGCGGATGTGGCTGTAGCATATATAATAGCATAAAATTGCAGGCCGCACACAGGGCACTGCAATTTGCGAATTACCCTCCCTTTTGACAAGAGCAGCAAATTGAGCCCAAATTCATTAGCGGTGGCCTAATATGATGGCCTTTTGCACGCACCCTACTAAAGTGCTTTTGCCCTTGTTTGTGTTTCAGGCAGGAAATGGTGAGCGAGGTGCAGCAGCGACTTGGCGATCGCGAGTAAACAAGAGAGCCGTAATTAGAGGGGTCCTTTGAGCGGGTGCATCCGCTGATAATGACGGCGGCGCCGCAATTAGTGGCCTGAGCGGAGCGGCGCCCCCTTCTCGCGGCCCCACGACGCGACCCCGCAGCAGCCCCCCAGCATGCTGTAAGGCAGTGCCGGGTGCTGCAGCTCACTCGCCCTGGCCGCAAGTCTCTGAAAGGGTGGCCCTCCACTGGCCGCACTCACAGCCCGGCGCCGCGCAACCCTCGCTCGGCTGGGCTGGCGCGACCTGCCGGGCCACGTCGCCAACCCTTAAAGCACGGCGTTTCCACACAACAGCATACGTCACAGGTCAGTCAAGTTTTTATACCTTTTTTATGTGAGATTAAATTTAATTATAAAGCTTCTGATCAATTTTACAAACTTATTTATCCAATTGAGAGTTAATAATTTACCTACATTTTAAGAGGTTGGTAAAAAAAATTACTGTGTTGGCTTCTGAAAAAGGAAACTATTATTATTGAAGCCTGAAAAAATCACGCTTTTAATTACATATTTCTGTATTTACAATGAAAAAAAATAGTATTTTAGTTGTAGTTTTGATTAAAAACGGCACTTCCCTGATTGGTTTTTTTAATTAAAACTACCCAAAACAAACCTTTATCATGAATAAATTCGTCTACAAAATTATTTTAGTTTTTTTCCATTTCATATTTTAGAAGTTTTTCCTTGCTTTTAACTAATTTTAAATGCAATCTTTTGACCAATTCAATGAAGAAAAGACTCAATCAAAACCAATATTGTATTGACAAGTTTCATGTTTGTCCCGGATAATTTACAGAGTCCCTAAGAACTCCCAGGAATTCCATCAGTCAAAGGGCGTAAATCCGAACCCTCTCTGCCCATTTTTTTTTGCGCGTGCAAACCATAAAAACGCACCATTTGCCAGTGGCGAAGTGCACCACACCCTCGGAGGATCCCATTTACCAATGCAATAGATCCAATTTTCGAGGGCCTCTATATGATGTCCCTGTGGCTGAGATGAATGCCCCTATAACGATTTTCGACGTTAGTGGCCTCCTTCAAAAGGGGTTAGAGTAATTTTTCTCGGCAAACTTTGCCTCTCCCCAGAGATTCCGCGCCACGAACTCTTGACCCGTTTCCAGCTTAGTTCCTAATAAAAAATCGATGGCATTCCTTCGCCAAATTCTTGCTTGCGTTGCCCACGCGAATCGTGGAAAAGAAAAAGGAGTCTAATTCAAACTGACGTACTGGAGTCGTTCACGAATGACTCTATTTTTGTTCCGTTTCACAGCACACATCACTCCAATTGATTTCGCAAGAGACTTTCGACTTTGGTAGGAACAGGTCATGAACTTCTGAAATTTGTTAGATGTAAATACAGCAGGGTTTCTGAGCATGAGCTGCTCGCGAGCAAGATTGAGCAAAATTTTGCTCGCGAGCACCATTGAGCACTCCTTTAGTGAGCATGCTCGCGAGCAGATGCTTGCGAGCACCCCAAAAGGGAGCATGCTCGCGAGCAGATATAGGGGAGCACTCCTGAGGTGAGCAGGAGCAGGAGCAGAAATTAGGGAGCACTTTTTAGAAGTGAGCAGGAGCAGAAGCAATATTAACTAAAAATGCTCGAGATGCTCCTTCTGCTCACATTTGCTTTAAAAATTTTACTACAATAACAGAATTTCATACTAAATCTATACTGTATACTGTGAGATCAACAAAAACCAGTGGAGGACGCTTTAGAATCGCAATGCATTAATCCTATGCTCTGACGCTCCGCCTACACCCCTTTCAGCCCTGAGTTCGACCTGCTGCACCTTATGTGCTCCTGGCAAACCTTCAGTCCTCTAGAGTCTTTTCCGCTGTACATAATTTATAAAGAGCTCAATCTCCTGCTTCATATTTATGTGCTCCTGGCAACAATTCGTCTTTTTAAATAATAATGAAATTATTTTATGGAAACAATTTTATTATTTTAATTATATTAAATTTTTTTATATGGTCTTAATTTGGTATCAAATTGATGTATTTGAATTTTGCTAAATTATTTCGGCGTAATAAATATTCTTTCAGAATAAATTAAAAACCTACATGCCGAATTTTCATATCAAACATGAGCATGACACTGCTTGGGAGCATATCGCAGGAGCAAAAATTGCTCGGAGCAGCATTGAGCACTCCTTCAGTGAGCATGCTCACGAGCATCTGCTCGCGAGCACCCTGAGAGGGAGCATGCTCGCGAGCAGATGTAGGTGAGCACTACTGAGGTGAGCAGGAGCAGGAGCAGAAATTAGGGAGCACTTTAGAAGTGAGCAGGAGCAGGAGCAAATTAATTTGAGCACCTGAAAAATTTTGTGCTCAGAAACCCTGAAATACAGATAATTAACCCTTTTTATGCCAACGATAACCAAACAATTAAAAGCGTTATTTTCACAAAGATAACTAGTTGCGTGTTTAAAAAATTAATAGCTCAATTTTTTTATTATTATTATGTCTTACTATTTTATTTTTTGCGTATTTTTTAAATCCACTTTTCAAATTTTCATAAAATAATTTAAATAAGTAGTTGAAAGCGCTCATAAAATACATAAATATTCCCTAATACCAATCTTCATTGATGCAGAAATTTGATTTAAGATTCAAATCAATCATATTCGGATGCACATGTAATCAAATTGAAGGCGTCAAGTGACCGTGAAGCGTTCTATTTTCTTTGCACTCCCACTCGTTCCTTTCAACTAGATTGCCATTGATTTTCCTCCGCAACACAAGCTGCCGGTTTTACTTCGCGCGTGTCGCACACAAACACACTCGGCATCAAACGAGTTGAATTCCCAACTGGGTCAAGGCATGCGTCTTTTTCCAAGTGCAATACCAACTTCCTCCTCCTCTTTTCGCAGCCGCAAAACTGAATGGAAGCTGTGATCTTTAAAGGATTGCTTCAGGGTGCTATTTGTCAGTCCATACGCAGTCACCCACGTAGTGTACTTTTTCCAAGGGAAAAAATGCTCAACACGTGCAACGTTCAAAGCGAGTGCGAAAAACGACAGAGAAGAGTGAATGTTTTTATTCATACATATAAATGAAAGCTTTCGCATGAATTCCGAGGGAGGAAACTCGGATCTCTTACTCGCACTTTTACACCCTTGTAAAACGCGAACATACCACATCCCCCAATGAGTGCGAAAATGGGGTACTTTGCAGAAAGAGGATCTTTTCATCCAGCCGTAAAATATACTCTGCATACTTGTCGCGCCGGCAAAAAAATTGCTTGAAATTCATCGCGCTAACGGATTTATGCTTTTTGCAGCGTCGGCTCCCGTTTTATTCTCCCCACTCAGCAAATGGCCGTTTGTTTATCTTGCGTTCCTCAAGAGTCGTGAAATTTAATAAAACACGCTGTCCTCCTCCGCCTCTTGGGGTGCGTCTTTCCTGGCCAAAAATTACAACAGCAGAGAATTTATTTTTGCTTTGACATTCGAGTCCGTGGAGTATTGAGCCGGAAAGTAAATAAACCGCCTCGGGTACGCCGCTAGCTCGCTGACAATAAGCTGCCCTTGTTAAAAAGCAAATGGAAAAGAAGCAGCGCCAGATTGGCTGCGAGATGAGGCTCGAGTCTTCTGGGGCATTTTGATGAGCGAGACCTTCTTCCACTATACTTTGGTAAAGTATTATCTACTGGAATGGAATTAAGTAAGACTTTGTCTCTCTTGGGAAAGGGTTATTTCAATTTTCCGACCAAATCTCATTTGCTTCTCATTGAAAATGTCTCAACAAGAAGAAATCGGGTCACGCTAATTTGTCTATGAAATAATAAACTGTTTCTTGGTTGAAATAAGCAGATCCATGTTTAAAATGAAAAATGACTGATTTGTAAATTTAGAGTTTCACTCATAGAAAATTGTTAAATATCTGTGTAATTTTAACTTATAGTTATGACGAGAAACATATAAACTACAAGGACTTCTTTTTTTTCTGTATTAATATTAATTTATCTGCTCAGTTTGGCCCATGAGTAAAAAATAAAAATAAAAAAAATTGTTCTCGATATTTGGTATTTTAGGTTGAGGAAATAATTTCATTATATAGCCTTACAAGCTCTTTAGTAGCGCCGGTTTAATGTAAGCCTGGAATTTATTTTCAAGCACTTCTCAGGAAGGTTTCTTTATGTATCAAGAAAATTGGCATTTATTTTGAGTTTAATCAGAGCAAAGAACTTAAGAGCATCACTGTTTCCATGAAAAGCTGTTCGCCATTAAGAAATAATCTTCCAAAGAAGCACGTCTCTAGTGAAAAGTTGCAGGGTTGCCGTTTATAGCAGGGGGTTGTTGGGGCACAAAGCTGCCTGTCAACGCGCGTTTAACAAGTTTTGCATTAATTAATTAGTAGCGATTCCCTGTATCAATCTCGCTCTCGTTCTTCTCTTTGCAAAACACTCCTGAGCTAGAATCGGGGCTTGAAGAACGGAGCCAAATTAATTAGTCAGGACTCTTGCGGCAACACGCCCTTCGCTTCTGCCCAACCCTCGGCACAGGGCAAGGCAGACACGCTCGTGTTGCCAACGGCGATCGATCGGCTGAAAATTCCATCAATTCAGACGTAAAACAATTATCGATCAGCACCAACTTTGTCATCGCCTCGCTCGTGAAACTTCGGCGTCGCCACTCAGGCGACTTAAACTGATTTTGATAAGTTCTCCTAATTAATATTCGCTCGGCTTTTAGTCCAGCCTTTGAATGGTGCCACTTTTAACCCGCGCCGCCACTGACCTCCAGCGAGCGAGCTGCTTTCAGAGTCGGACGAACAAAACGGTCGCATCAAGTGCCGAGCCGAGCCGCCGCCGCTGCTTTTTATCCCCGGCGAAACCACCAAAGAAAATTGCAAAGTGGCTTGGCAAGAGTGGTTCCTTCGTTCTTTCCAAGCGATGCCCGAGTTTATATTATGCAAGGCGTTTTAGATCATAAGGAGACGTGTTTTTTTTTCTGTTTACATCCAAGAGTGAAAGTGTATTTGAATAAAATCTCCGATGCAAGATTTCCCGCCGCCGGGAAAGTGGAACACAAAAGGCAAATAATAATATTGTGTGCAAACACATACGCACATATACATACCCATCGCTAACGGATCAAAGTGGTTGATTGAGGACTGGCAGCAATTTCAAGCACACAAGAAAATTTGTATAAAAACCATGTTTACTCCACGAGGCTCTTCAAAAACAGGCCACATTCCAGTTTCGTTTTGGAATCGATTCTTTTATTTTGTAACTTCTCTTGTATCTAAATAGTTGGACAAAATTAATTAAAAGATAATTTCTAACTTAAGGGATATTGAAAATTTTTACCTAGCTATTTCCCACCCTCTGCAAAGCCTACCTGTGGCAAAATTTGTGAACAAAAACTTAGTCAAACGAGGCTCACTGCGGTGGATGGGGTCTTTTTTCTCTCAGAAGTTTAAGCAAATTTCTTCTGGTAGTGGTGCCATTTTTTCCAAATATTCGTTCATTTGTTTTTTTATTTCCTTTTTAATTTCCTTTTTTGAATAAATTGAATGTAAACAATTTATTTGTAACAATGTGGACAAATAAACAACAATAATAATAAATAATTTGAAAATTCTATGCAAGTAATGCGTTTATTTAAATTATATTTGGTCAAATTTTATAATTATTAATAAATTAAAAAATCGTTTCATAACTAAATAATGGTTTAATTTTCCACAGACAAAAATAAATGAATCAATAACAAATTTAAATTACCTTGTGATTTGTTTATTTGTACACAGATAAAAATTTGTCAACAATTTTAGGTCAAGCATGGGGAATAATATCCGTTTTTCAGATGAGATTGAAACTAGAATTACAGCTGTTTTTTAACAGATTGATTTCGCAACCACTGCAAAGCATTTCAAGCGGTTTCCAAAACGCAACAAAACTCCCTTTCAGCGTTAGTTTGCAAACGAAGGGTGTGTGTGGGTATTGGTTTCACTCAACTTCAAAGGCCATCGAGTTCGGCGACCGCAAAATTCTCGTGACGGCCATTGCGTCCGGAACGCCATCACGGGGGTAGCAACCGGTCGTGAACGTCGACTCGGTCGGATTGGAGCGAAACAATAACAATTCAATTAAGCTAATACGCGGCGCAGGAATAATGAAGCGCTCGGCATGATTGATTGCAAGAGTGCTTTGAGCATCCCTGAAACTTTGTTCCCTCGGCACGTTGTTTTGGGCCGATGTCGAAAAGTGCGAGTTTCTCCCTGCAAAAACTAATTTTCCGTGAAGCTCCTCTTATTAAGGATAATCGCTTTATGCGAATTAACCCAGGATTAAAGCTGTCTGCGTTCATCCGCGCGCGGGCCCAACTCGCAGGATTAAAGGGCCGCAGGTATTGAGAGTTATTATTTTCCACCCCGCTGCCTCTGCCCGCTCTTTTCGCGTTCGCTCCACGTGCCAATTGAATTACGACGCGCCCCCCGAACGCTGCCAGGCGAGGGGTTGTGCGAATTTCAAACGACGGACACGTTTCAACACGCGCTCTTGCACTAATTGCGCTTTTAACGAGCCATGAGCATCGCAGGCCGGTGTAAACTGAACACTTCTGAGAAATTTGTTGGTTTATATTGGTTTAGGACAGTATCACGTGTCAGTTAACTCTCAAATAAGAGCTTACAACATTGTGTATAGCTTAATTCGTGTGAAAACAGAGATTGAGACAAACTTTGGTTTCTGAGAATTAAACCCTTGGCAATTACATAGTTGAATAATAGCATTAAAATACATAAAACAAAATAAATAAATAAAAAACAGACCCAATCATCTTTCAATAGGAAAATATACGAACTTATTTTAATCTTTTGTATATTTGAATGAGAAATAGACTATCAAAAAATTTTGATGCTTAAAAACCAATCGAGGAATCAAATTTTATCTTCAGAGAAGAGTTTCTTAGCAAAGAAAACTTAAACAATTTTGACTCAATCAAAATTGTGTACAAGTCCGTTTCCCTTACATGATATTCGCAAAATAATTTTTCGCATTAAGAAATTGATTAACAGCAGAAAAAACTGCAAAAAAATATTCTCCGGGATTTATTCTTTTCAAAGCAAATTAGATAAGTTTTAAATGAAAATTTGGTTTTTGTTATGAAGTTCTGAAGTCAAATTGATAATTCTGTTGCTTACTCGTTTACAATTTTTGAACTTGCGACGACCTTTCATCGAATAATGAAAATTTTGTTATTTAATAAAGTAGAATTATTTATTCAACAATGCATTAATTGGAAATGGAGCTGCGAATATTCTGTTAACAGTAAATTACACTCGAACTTTCAGCAGCAACTCGATTCCTGTAGCCCAGAGCAGCGGCTCGAAATCCAATTACCCTCTGCTCTGCAACCTGATAAGCGCAAACTCGATTGTTTCTCGCACTAGCAGCAGCACAGAATCTCATTCGCGACGAGACATTCATCGGAGCCCTCGGCCGGAATGCTGAAGAACAAGCATTATTTGAAATGTCGATACCACTGTACACAATTTTATGCCTCTTGAAGCTCGGTCGTCAAATAAAAATTTGACCCGATTCCAAGCGCTATATTGCAAAATGACAAGCGGATTGCGAAAATTAGAAAAAATAAACAGTGTATGTGATGAAATTAACCGACTTCGGGAAAACTCGATTTTGCTGCATGCTAATTGAAATGCTGCGCGCAATTTTGATGGAAATGCAGCGAATTAAGGTCGTGGCCGTTGTTTGCATCAGCATCATAAATTTGCTCAATCCGCCTCAAATCCTGCATCACGTGCCGAGTATGGAGGAGTGGGAGTACGTTTAGTACACATCAAGCCAGCGTCACTCATCTTTTATTTATTCAAATTGTAATTCAGCGCGGCATTGTGGCCTTAATCAGCAGATGCATGCAGTGTGCTGAGTGCGTTGACTCGGACCGGGATACCGGGACGGGTCTCTCTTTCCCTCTCAACCAAATTTTCTTTCATGTTTACGGCCTCCGATGTGTCTCGCTGCTACCTCTTCTTGCACACGCCCCACAGATAGCGAGAAGTTGAGAGTCACGTTTGTCTGGCTTTTGGGCCGACGGACGAGTCTCGTGTGCCTCTTAACACGGTATCATGCTAAAAAATCTTGCATTATTCATGCAACATGCAAATTATTTCAACCTGGAAACACGAGCGCGTAGCCCGCCCACCGGGCCGCCCCTAACCAACAAATTAGCCAAGAACACACACACACACACCACCGCCAACTTTTTGCCGTCGCCGCGCACTCTTTTTGCTAAATTATGCAACCGGCTTGTCAGAGGTGCCGGGTTGCATACAACCACTGACGAGCTTTGTTTAGATGAAATTTATTTATGCTGCTGCGTTTCCGGCACTGTTTCGGCTATGCTTTCATCAAGACTCAGTTTTTACTCACGCTTGAGAGCTGAAAGTAATTAAAAGCCCTCTTTTAAACCAAAACTTTTCAAATCTTCTCCGAACTTTGCTGATGTTTCTTTTAATCATCTCTTTCTTTGAACAGGATTTATTCTCAAGGCGTTCCTTAACTTGAATGAAGCTATATTTATTTTCATTCACAAGTTTTGTTTTAATCAAATATTTTGGAAGAGATCCACACTTGACATTAATTTTATTAAATTTAAAATGGATATAAAATATTGATATAGGATCATTTTGCTTTTTAATCTTCAAGGAAGTTTTAAATTTTCAATATTTGTATTCTTGAAAGAAAAAAATGTTACTGTCGCTTGCTTTTGCAACCACATTGCTAAAGAATTGTTTTTCTTGGTTCGCAGATGTCCTGACAGTGGGCCGGGGGCGTGTGGCATGACATCGGTGCCTGACGGGCAGAACCAAGACTACCGCCGACTGCTCGCCCTCCGCACTTCCGGCGCCACGCCACCTCCGTCAGAAAGGTTTCTGCCCATAGCTCCCGCGCCACCCCCGGTCAATGTCCAGTCGCAGCAGCCACCCCAGCCTTCGTCGGCCTCGGCCCAGGGCGCGGCGTCGACCGGCGGCCACATCACCTCCGTCGGCGACGCGTACATGAGGCGCGAGGCGCCGCCGCCCAGTTCTTCCTACCACTACCGCCTGCCCCCTCATGTCGCCGCAGCCTACCAGGTTAACCAGGTACGATGCATTTTTATTCACATTCCTAACCATGAAAATTAAAAAATATAGTTTGGTAGCAAGATTCAATTGAAAATAATTATACCATGGCAAAATGAATGTCCATTGTTAAATTAATTGTTTTATTTTGTAGTCACATGGGTCTCGCAATCAGTTTATAAAATTCTTTAAAGTAAGAAAAATCTGAAGGCAACGAAATTAGCTCAAACTGGCTCAAACATAATTTTTAATTAACCGAATAGATAATTATGTGATTTTTACATTAAAACAATAAAAACAATAAGTTTAAATTAAGTGAAGGATTTTTAAATAAAAATTGAATAAATAATTAATTAATAATATATTTATATTGAAAATTGGCAAATTATAAAAAAAAAACGGAGACTGGGAAGTTCAATAGAATAATGCAGCTTGCCTCCGTTTATAATGTGCTGTCAGCTTCTTTCTGCAGCGCCGTTTTTGCGAAAAGCTTCTCCCTCAAATTTACATCACAATTTCAAAAATTTGTGGCAGCCACGCCAACGCAACGCATAATTTCATTGCGACGTCAACGTCCACTTATCATCGCGGAAGGGTTCCTCGAATGGCAAAGGAAAATATAACGCTCCAAGGAGGAGCGCATTCCTGTCTGTATTCCAGGAAGCCCAAAATGTTTGCATTCTCATTGCTCAAATTAACATGGCATTTCCCAGAATCATTTATTTACAGCAAAAATTCTCCTTTTAATGGCATAATGTGTGAAAATGATAAATTAAAAAATTAATTTCAAATTAAGTTTAAAATCAAAATAATATCAAAATCTTTCAATTAAATTTTAATTGCGACTAAATTTTTTTAAATCTTAAAACCACACCCTCATGTTCGTTTTAGTTCCCATATTCTGCACCGGCCTTTTACCACACACATCCCATATGTTTGGCTTTGGATTCTCAAAGTATTTCGCCGGAGCAAAACTCACACAACAGTCATAATTCACAAACAAACAAACGCAGCGAGCGCCAAACGAGCCACGGTCGGTTCATTAGCCCTTGCAGCACTCGCGCAGCGATAAATCAATAACTTTAAGCGCGTCGTGGGAATCGAAATGGAGCGGACACGCATGGAAATTGTAGCGAAATAAATTAAATTATGGCGGCCGAAAACGAAAAAGGTCAACGGCTCGCATCCTGCACACGCGGATATCACACGAACTGCGGGCTATGCGGTCTCTCACTCTCTCGCGCGTAGAAACCGCCACGGGAAAGCCCTGTCAATAATAAATCGAAGCTAAGTAACTTTTGCAATAAGTTTGCGCAGCCGTTGTTAATGAAATACGACCGCAGAGAGGAGTGCATTGGACGTGAGTGCGCATAGCCCTTACGTGTTTTGCGGTGCCTTTGAAGTCAGAGGGCGCTTTCACCCTTTCGTACACACATTCAATAATAGGAGACCTGCAGGAATCAATGATTCCCGAACAATGGAAAGCCGCTGACGGATAATGTGCCGTAATGGCAGGAAATTGGGATCCGATTTTGTTGCTGCGGAGAATCTTCCTTTGGCTCGCGGCATCATTTTTGCTCCTTTTTGCGGTCGTCATGTGCGGAATAACAAAATCGGCGACGACACTATAGGATTTTGCTCGTCTCAAGGAAAATAGCGGACAATGATTTTCGTCCGATTGCGTTCATTGTTCAATACTTGGCGTATTGCGGCTTTTCGGCTTAAGCTCTAAAATTGGAACAGGAAATAATCCCAAGTGGAAGGAAATACAAGAAGATTTTGAGAGCATCAAAAGGAATTTGATTTATAGCTTAAATTATTCTTCTTTATTATCACATTATAATAAATATAAAGATAAAATATAAATAATTTTAAATTTTGTTAGCGTTTAAGATCTTATTTTTGTTTGTCATTTTTTTTTTTAAATTTGTTCTTGCTTCTAAAATAGAGTTGCAGACCGTGAGCAAAACTGTTAGAGCCGTATTGTTTTTTAATTTAATTTATTATTTTATCCATTCCATAAACATTCATGAATACATTTTGCAAAAAAACTATACATAAAAAGTACAGAAAAAGCTGAAAATACAAGGTGGATAAAAAAATACGAGAGCAAACCCCATTTTCTTCACATCCAATGATCGTCTACTTGACTTGAGTGCCAATTTCTTCCCAAAAATAAACTTATAACAAAATTTAATGAAATTTACCAGATTTATAATCTAGCTGGTTTCTTTTAACATAGTTTATGGGTCACAAGTTTAATGTTTTAATTTATTGATTGATTTAATTACGCAAGGGGCTCTGGGCTCTCGCAAATTCCCCTGAGGTGCTTTGAATTTTACAATTAACAAACAGAAATTCAACCAGGAAAACAAAGTGATATATTTTTACAAGCATTCCAGGAAACAGAGCCAGTGTTGAAACACCCAAGGCGATTGGCTGCTATATGTAACCATCGCATCAAGGGATAAAGTTTCATCCTGTACGTCAAAAAGGGAAATCAATATAGGCCCTCTCGAGGGAAAAGCAATTTGCTGTTCAACGCATTGGGAAAATTCTGAGAATTTGAAATTGCTCCGCACGGTTGGCAAAATATTTTCAGAAATTTGTGGCAGGAAAACGTCGTATTTCAAAATTATACCAGGGGGGCACTTTTATTGCGGCGACGCATGAAATGCAGCTATGCGCGCTAAATTAACATGTTGCCAGGCAAGCTGTAGCACCAAAAAGCCGTTTCCAAAAATTGCACGCGTGTGTGTATTGGAGCTGGGGATCGATCGCGACGAAGCTTTGAGAGAAATAAAGGAACGGCAGCCGTGTGGTGTGCGAGAGGGGCCGTTATTGTTGTGTGGGCAACAGATTGGTGAATGACGAGAATGAGAGAGACCAATTTCGATAGGCCTGCACACACGACGGCCGCCTGTGTAATTTGCAATGTATGTGCGAGCGAGCGCACAATGGTATGCTGTGAATTCAAATTGTAGTTCGGGAGATGTTGATGTTATTTGGCCAAATGCTTTTCCTGCTTAATATTGACCCTTTCGGCGACGAAAACGCGCCTGTATTCTGTATTCTCTCTTCGCAAACACGCATATGCATGAATGCAAAGCTCGAAAGCAGCGTCGTCTCAATTCAACTAACGTTTATCATAAAAAATAGATATCCTTTGTCTTTTTGTTTCAAGAGAAATAAAATAAATTGTTTTTATTCTGCGAATCAAGAGAATTTTAATCCGGTATTTGCTTAATTATTTAGCTCCATGATTGTTAATTCATATATTAAAGAGGAACAAAGTATAACTTGAAATCTTTGACAATTTGATTTTTGAATCTTTAAATAAAAAAAAACAGCATACGCTGACATCCACTTTCTGATAGAGAGAATGTATAAAATTAACATTGGGGAAAATAGTTTTATCGGTGTTAATAAAAATTGTGTGGTTCAATTTTGTAAATAGTCTGATATATTAGCTACATAATGTTAGCTGATTAGAAATTTATTAGAAATTCTTATTCCAAATTCATTTAAATTTTGCAAAAATACAAAATTACCTCACAACACAACGAATAGCTTGAAATGCGTTAACAGTATTCAAAACTCTCATAACAATATCTGTCCCAGGATTTTTATAATCATAAAATTAAGTAATTGTATATATATTTATGCGTATTTATATTTTTGCGTAAGTTGAAAGTATAATCAATGTTTTGAGTGTTAATCCTTGTGTAATTCGTTTCAATCGTTCGCATTACATGAATTTTTATTTCTGTCCAGTCCGGTGCAGATATAGAATATTACGTTGACGCGCCAGAACTAATTACAATGTTATTTATGTAAACACGTCAAGTTTAAACCGGCCGTGTTGTCAGTCGTAAACGCAACGCCAGCTACAATATCACGCAAACAAATCTAAAAAGGTAATTATTTTTAATAACCCTCCGAAATTAAGCCTCTCCCCTTCCTTGGTGCGCCTCTGGTCGGGGGGTGAATTATAATTATCTGGCAACATTTTTCATGCCGAGGGGTTGAGAAATATACGAGCAATTATCACCCTCATTCGTGCAGTGCGTGGGTTGACGTCGAAAGATGCAAATTCAATTACTCAACACGCACTGCTCCTCTTAAAATTGACTGTGGCCGCTTGATGTCGGCGTCGCGTTTGCAAATGGGTGTCATGTAATTACTCAGGCACCCAGTCACGTCGCCTGCCACTTATGATTTATCGCCGGGCCTTGCGATCAATTACTTTTTCTATAAATCATCCCGTGTGCAGCATCTTCATAATGGATGGAGAAAGAAACTGGCCACAATTAAGGCCGCAAGCCTGGCCAGGGCTCAACGTGAAATAAATCACGTTTCCTTAATGCCGTGTGCTGCTTTTAAGGTGTACGAAAGTTCCGTCTCACCCCTTTTATCGTGCATGCGATTGAATAAAATCTAGAGTGAAAGCGAGCAATTTTTTTCTGTGCATAATGCTTTTTGCCACTTTTCTCGATCTCTTTTTCTCTTGCTTTGAGAGTGGAAAGAGAAATTTCGCGAAAATTAAATAAAATCTCCCTTCGTTGCTTGAAAATGTGATCGCCTTTGTGTCGCGCGATTGTTGTAGAGAGAGACTGATTTTTTGCGACGGTCGAAAGTTTGTGAAAGGAAGAGACGGGCATTTATTCTTTCATCAAAATTCCTATTGGCTTTTCGCATCGGCAATCGATGGAATTGTCTGATTTCGTGCAAAAGCGAAGTCATTTTTGTTCCTCAAAAGTCCTGAATTACATCCCAATTCTTTATTGTGTTTCATCATTGTTCGTTGCTGCTCAAAAGTTTCCTGAAGATATTGAATGAAGAAAAGTGAAAAATTCAAAGGAAATTACCACAACTGATTGTTCTGAATATTTCAGAGAAAAATAATATAATGAACAAGTAAATAAAATATTTTTTTTATACTAATAGCTGAAATTAGTTCCTGTTTTAACATAAATACTGCAAACCTTTGACACATTGTCTTTTTAATTGTGTGAAAATTTTCAAAGAAGGAGCCAGGAAATCATGAAAGTAGCAATGTATTTTGTAAATTATTTAAAATTTTAATATTTAATTTTTATTTATTTCAAAATATATTTGATTTTGAACTTGGCAAATCCATAGAATTTTACGGTTCCAGTAAATGTTTCAATCAAAGATTATAATTAATTAAATAATTAATATATAAAAAATAAAAGCTACTTTTAGATGTCTTTTATGCACCCAATAAACTTCAAATAAAACGAAAAAAACCAACTAATTATTTATATTTAAATTTATTAATACTCACTAGCTATCTTAATATGAAACTGAAAAGGGCAATAAATTTCTGGAAGGCGAGCACAAAAAAAGTTTAGGAAATAGCGAATAATTTATGTACATTTTCTTTTGACGGAAGGAGAAAGAAAGAGGCCAAAAAAGTGGAGAAACGCACAAAAAGGGGCTGACGCATACTACAAAAGAGTGCGGCCAAATTTTATTAACTGCTGCGAGCGAGCTGGCAAAAGTTGATTCCGCAACTCTCTCTCGCACGTCAGCGGGGAGCGGCAGTGACAGTTTGCATCAACGTGTGGAATTTACTTCCAGAAGCGAAACTTTGCTATCGCATTCGGCATCTCTCCCCCGAATGTGTGTGCAACTGTAGTACCCAAAAAGTTGGAAAATATGACATGCCTTTGCGTCGTAAAAAAAAAAAAAAAAAAATCGCACCACGCAGCGACGGGTCCTTTCTTGCGCACCATTTATTTATTCTCTAGTAATTTGTAAAATGACGAGAGACGAATCAGACGAACGCGCGCAGCATAAGTCGACCCCCATTAGTCGAGGGGGACCGTTCGATTTTTTCCACTCGACTGCAAATAATCATGCTCGTTCTGATTATTATCATGAGCTGCTTTTCCGTTCTCCCTGCTCCTCTAATGTGCCAAGGGAAGCATTAATAACTAAGGCAATTGCAAACGCTATTCGTGTCAACTTTGGCCGACTGACTGCCGGTGCTCTTCCGTCGTCCCTCCTTGCCCTGCTGCTCCAATTATGGCAGCTCGGGATGGCAAGTCACTGCTTTTCCTCCTCCGTTGGGAACAAACCGAGCGCCAACCTTGCTTTTATGCAGGTCTGCTGCCGAGGGAATGAGAGTGAAATCTGACCTTAATTAATTTTCCTGTTTGCTAAGTTGGCAAAGATTCTGCTTAAGAGTTGAAGAGATGTTGCCAGAAAAATTAAGCAAGATTCCAAACGCAATTAAAAGTTTTAAGGGGGCAATTTCTCGTTTAATTTAAAGATTGTCACCAGGTCAAGGTCAAATTACAAAGCATTTCTTTCAACATTCAAAACATCGGAAAACAATTTATAATTAGGAAAGTAGAGTAAATTTCGATTTAAGTGCCTTGTTCATTATGGATTAATTTTAATTACTTCAATTAACTAATGGTGTTAAAATTATTTTAAAAACATTGTAATCAGCATTAAAACATTTTGATTTTATCTACTTTGGAAAATTCATCTTTTCTTTTATGGTACTTTTAGATTTTCCATGATTTAAAAAAGAAGCTGTTGACAATTTCTCTTACACTCTTTTGGATTTTTTTTATAAAATGTTTTTATAAATATTGAAATTGTTGCAATGATACAGACTAGGTTGTTTTAAAAATAACATATTATTGAAAAATATAATTCTAATAAATCTGAGCTTACATTTGAAGTCTAATTAATTTTTTTCCGATTAAATTTGTTTCAGAATTATGATTGCGGAGGGTCGAGTAGCAGCTCGGGCAGCGGTCGGTCGCTGCCCCATGTGCCTGCCGACTACCTGTCGGCCTCGCACTACCACCCTGCGGCGCACTCGAGCCACTACCACCATCCACACTACAACACCATCTCGCATTCGAGCCACCACCACGGCTCGATGCACCACCATCCGCACCACCGCTCGCCGCACCACCACCACCCTGAGTACCGCCGCCACCTGAGCACGTCGCAATGCCCTGGCGCCAACTACCTGCGCCACAGCTCCCGCAGCGCCCGTCTCGAGGAGTTGCTCAACTCGTCGGCCGCCAACTCGAGGGTCCCAAGCCCTCGTCTCCCGCCTACCCCGAGCACCCCGAGGACCACGCCGCCCCTGCAGACTCGCTCATTGCCGTCCAACGACTCACTCGTGGACGCGCCGGCACTTGTAGAAACCAGGACGTCCCGCAGGTAAGATTTTAAAAGTTTCTCCGGAGCTTCATTTTTATTATTTTATTATTGGTGTTTGTAAACCTGATGTTTAAAAAAAACGATGAAAAGTGTGTTATTCATTATATTAAAAAATAATAAAATTACTAGTGGAAAGGTTACAACTCTTCATTGGTTATAAATTGTTATTTTTTTTTTAATTTATGGTGATTTTTTTTTTATTAATTAACAACGACGTGCTCAGCAATTTTCATTGTGTATATTCACGAAGTCGTAAAAAGTTAAATTTGAATTTTTTTTTTGCTTTACCAATTTTTGTAATATTAAATATTCAATTTTCAACATTTCCATTCTTTTTTATAGGTACCAACAGCAGGCTGTATTAGAGCAGCAGCAGCAACAACAGCAGCAACAACAACAACAGGCCAACTCGCGATTGTACCAAGACCCAAGCCCTGTGCCCTCACAACAGTCCTCCAGATCGTACCAATCGCAACAGCAGACGCAGGACTCGTCATCCAACCTGTCGAGCGCAGTGCAGCCGTCGAGACCAGAATCGAGGTGTTCAATTAGTAGTGTGGCTGGAAGTGCGTCTGCGTTGCCCTTGGCCTGGTAAGACTCGCAATCAGTTAAAACAGTATTTCATAGAGTTTAATTCTCACATCTTTTTTTATCGTTATATATTATGTACTTCATTAATTGATGATAAAAAATTTTATTTGAGTCTAGTGACACAGATTTCGACACACAACAGCGTGAACTACATTTCACGCAGAAAAAGATTAACAAATTATTTATGAAAGAGGAGGCGTTTGAAATAACTAGGACGGAAAGAATGTTCATGCATTAGAGAGCGCGACGAGGCGCGCGCTGGCTTTTTATGAGCTGCCGCCGGCCGGGTAATGGCAGGCTGCGCTTCTCGTCGGAAAGACGCGGGCTAACTGGAGGAGACACACACAGACCAATAAATCCGCCCTGCCGTACATGAAATATAAATTACAGAGCTGCAAAAAGTGGCAGCCGTGTGGCGTTGCGAATGACACACCAAGGCCGCGCGTTTGTGCACTGGATTATTTTCAATTGAGTCCTTTCTATGTGGATTTCCCCACTGCGCAGTCGGTATTCACGGACATCGCATGACTAATACAAATGATTACTTTGAATTCTTGCTCGAGTCCTTCAAAATAAAATTGAGCATCAGAAAAATTTCAAATTTTTAATTCAAAATAAATTCATTGAATTAATAATTTAAATTTTGAAAATTAATGTAACTTTATAAACTTCTTTTTTTTTTTTTTTTTTTTTTTGCTGCCCCTGACAAAAATATTAGCATTGTTTGCAGCAGTTTAAAATATATTTTATGTACCTATATAGCTCGATATTTTCGTCGCAGGTATTCCAATAAGCGCGGCGCACGTCTCTCTAGTCTGCGTGTCATCGCACCTTGTAATGGTTATGCAGCCGGGTTGTCACTCAAGCTGCACAGGTTGCCTATTTTCTCTTGGCTCAGGAACGTGCGAGAGTCTCTCTCTCTCTCTCTCTGGAATTTTTGTTTCTCACTCTGCGCTTGATAAGCTATGAAATTGCTTCAGGGCGAGTGTGTGTCAAGAAATTTAATCTTAATATGCAATTTTCTTCGCACGATCGTTCTTCTTCCTCGAGAGACGCTAATGGCAGTTATGATGACATTTTAATCTCCTACCATTATGCATCACTTTTATGCATCAAATTTGCTAAATAGATGCTATATAGCAGCTTTTTTCACACTCCCTAGTTTCACACAAAACATAATTTGCTGAGGGTTTTGCGACCGCATTTCTCTCAGCGAGGTGCTCTTATTTCTCGCGGCCGTTCATTAATTTCACAGGTTTCCCGCACAATGCACCGGCCCTAATTAATTCTCACGGTGACGTAGCCGAGAGAGAGAGAGACGAGTGATGATGCTGCTGCACGCATTTAGTTAATGAGAAATGGAACCGATCGATTTTTGTTGGTGCAAAAAGTTTTTGTCTTTTGATCCAAAACATTTTTATCTTGCGTTTCCTGAGAGGGCAGGTAGCACGGTTGGAGAGAACGTCTCAATTTAACGCTCCAAGGCCGTTGCGAAATTTCCTCATGAGCAAAGGTGTCGCCCTCAAGTAATGCGCGCCATTACAATTTTATTCATTTTTCTGTATAGACGTGCACAAAACTAGCTCTTGAGCCTTGTCGCCTCTCTCGCATTCGCACGGTTAAATCCAGCATAAAAGCTTGGCTGATAATAATGACTCGGTGTGTGCGAGAGCGAGTTTCCCATCCAACAACCTCCCTTATTTCACTCCGCCCCGCAGTAATCGATCAGGGAAAACTCGAGCGACGACCTTTTTTACCCCAGTGACGGCAGCGCTGCTGACACCTAGCGGCGAACCCTAGCGAATTCTCAAACTGCCGCGCGTTCTCCGACTTCTCCGTTCTCCACACCACACCAACACCACCGCCGCGCACCTGCCGTACCACTTGCATTCCGGGGGGTTGTTTTCTTTATTGGGACTGGTGGCTCAAAATTAACGCTGCTTCAAAATATTCAGCTGCAGCCTGCAGCTACCCAAATTTGCAAATTCGCATTGCTGTGGTTTACTATAGTACAAAGTCCCATGGAGTAAGTTTTTTGTTTATGTTTATTTTATGTACATAAATGTACAATGACTCTAGTTTTGTGCAAAGTCTGCTTTAGTACACTTATTATAAAAATGAATTTATGGAATATATTATAATAATTTTAAACAAACTTATACTTAATTCTTTAGTAGACAAAATATACTAAAAATTCCGAGACATCATAGTTTCATAAAAAAATGACTATCATTAGACATTCCAAAAAATTATGCGATTTAAAATTTCTTCAAAATGTTTGCACATTCATACCATATGAAAAAAATAGATATCATATATTGTCCGCATTCTTCATTTTCTCTCCACAAGAAATTTACTGATCAAATGTGAAATTTCATAGATTTACTCATGATTTTTTTTGCCATTATTTCCTTGCAGGCGGAATGCAGTGTCATCTGCTGCCGCGGCTGCCTCCACATCAGTGCCTCCCTGCACTCCACCTGGTACATCCCCTTCAGGACAAGCCACCCCAGCCTCCCCAGGCTCCAGTTCCTCTCCGTCTGCCTCCGCGGCCTCCAGCACAGCCTCCTGTTCTTCTCAAACATGCTCCTCCGTCTCTTCGGTGTCCTCGGCCGCCTCAACAAATCCTGCCACGACCACCTCGTCACTTGCGCCGAGTCCGCCTCAAAACCCGACAACTACCCCTCCTGTTCCTTCCTCACCCATTGAGAGCACAACAGCAGACACCCCACGAGTGGCGCGGGCTGTTACAAGAACTGAAACAATCAAAAAGTATACATTTTTCAAATAATCCAAAATATCTAGATATTCTAAATCAAATGTAACTTTCCAGCTACATCAAACGAGGGACGGCAGAATTCTTCGGACTTTGTGACAATGACGACGATGAAGAGAGGCTGCGGCTCAGGTGGCTCGAGCGACGCAAAAGACTTGCAGTGCGGAAGTGTGGACCTTTGCGAGAGGAATGTCCTCCAGTGGCAGCAAGACATGCGCCGGCCAGACAGAGGGCAGCGCAGGTCGCATCAAGACCTGATGTTCTTCCAACCGACTCGCCCGACCACCCTGGCAGTAGCAATGGGGAGCCTGAGGGCAGTCGATGGACTGAACCTCCAGTCAGGCGAAAAGAATCTGTGGCCAGAATGGCACTCGGCGGTCTTGGATATGTGATTACGGTAATTAAAGTAATGTTATAGTTTTTTGAAACAAACTAAACTTTAAATTTTGACAGACCCTCACTAGGCACAGAGCAAGAGCGACTTCACGCAGCAGAGAGTGGTCGAGAAGCTACTCTCCAACAGCAGCTCTTGATCCGCCTCAGCAACAACCAGCAACACCACCAAGACTCTTCCAAGATGAAGTAAAACTTGTATAATGCTTGAAAACTCATGTGTTTATTGTGTGCCTTTTTTTTCTTGCAAGGTTTTCTTTGATAAACCGGCTTCAGTTAGTGGAGCGCACGGCGAGGGTGACGCCAGTGGAAACAAGGCTCAAGAAGAAAAAGCATCTTCGGCCTCAAATTTGCACACGGCTGCATTGGAATCTAGTTTTAGACCTGGTCAGCAAAGTGGGGCGCCTGAGGATCTTCAGGACGACCCTGACCACAGACCAATTAGAGATCACAGATCTTTTTCAAGTGATAGGTAAAATGATGAAATTATATTTTAATGTGCTTTCACATTAAATGTAAAACTATCGCATTATTTCCAAATCAAAATAGCTTATTAAAAAACTATATTTACCAACATAATTTAAATTTCAGGGCGCACAGTTGGCGACGAAGTAGACAAGAGCCTGGTGCCGAGGCTACTTCTGCAGAGGTTGGTGCTTCTCGAATATGGAGCCATGTCCTGGACAGAGCGCTCGACAACTCTGACCGCAGACAATACGGCATGGGCTTTGTTGGCAGATTTTTGAGGTCGATTTCTTTTTGTCTTTGAGAATTCAATAATTCATATTTAATTTTGCAGCAGACGCTCAAGAAAGCGCTCAAATGTCCACCGTCACAAGAGGCAGTTGGACGATATGGAAGACTACAGACCTTTCTTTACGTACTGGGTAACGACCGTGCATGTCATGGTCATGGCCTTATCTCTCCTGTGTTATGGACTGGGTCCACTTGGCATTGACCTCAATCAACGATCTGGCCTGGTAATAAACAAGAAAATTTTTTCCAGAAGAATTTCACGTAAAATTTTTTGTCAGGTCATGGTGCCAAGCTTGTCTTTGCAGCAGGTTGACTACTTGGAGCCTGCTAACTTCTGGATAGGACCTAGAGCTGTAAGATTGCACTTACTTGCTCCCGTAACTTAGGACTAATTTATTTTTTTAAAGGCTGATTTGATACACCTGGGAGCCAAGTTTGCGCCCTGTATGAGGAAAGACCATAGGATATGGAGAAGAATTAATAAAGCAAGGGAGAAAGAAAGAGAAACAGCTTGCTGCATCAGAAATGATGATTCTGGTTGTGTGCAGTCATCTCAAGCAGAATGCTCAGTAAGTTTTGATGATGGAAATGTTCGTAAAAAGTCATCTCAAATACATTTCAAAGAATTAAAATTTTTATAAAATAAAATTTATTAATGAAAATCACTTCACATTTTTGAGCAAATAGTTGACTAATCTTTATATTTCCTGTTCTTGCTGCAGCTACGAGGATTGAGACCAACGGTATGTGAACTGAGTGCCACATATTTAGCATGACATGCTTTCTGTTTGATTTACCATCTTAATCATAATTTAATTTTAGTGAAAGTCCAGGTTTCGGGTTTTAACTCCTTCTCCAGTTACCATATGTACTTGCACCTTTTCTTTTCATTATTCCTTGCATTTTGCATTTTTTACTTAAAAATCAGTATTTTTGTGAAAGGTCGCTCATTGTAAATTATACTTCCGCAGCAGACGATTTCCACATGGAAAAAGTGGTCTGCAGGCGATTCAGGACCAGGAGGTCGAATCTCGGGTTCAGTCTGCGGCCTCGATCCCAAATACTGCGAGGCGCCAGCGTCCATAGCTCCTTTTGAGTGGCCGGACGACATCACCAAGTGGCCAATTTGCAGAAAGCCAAGTTCAGTTGTGCAGAGGCGCGGAGTGAACGGCGTGGGCACCCAGCTGCGCAGGGACAAGACAGCAGAACACATGATCTGCGAGGTTATAGCCCACCCCTGCTGCATAGGCATCCACGGCGCCTGCTCCATTACAACCAGAGAATATTGTGATTTCGTCAGAGGAAAGTTTCACGAGGAAGCCTCATTATGCTCACAGGTACCTATTAAAGTTTTAGACAAAATAGGATTGTACAAATTTGTCTAATTAGGTATCATGCCTTGACGATGTGTGCGGCATGATCCCGTTTTACAACCCTGACAGGCCAGACCAGTTCTACAGACTCTGGACGTCATTGTTTTTACATGCAGGGTATGTCTCTCTCACTTTTTGGTATTATTTATGACTAAAGTTTTAATTATTTTATTTCCATCTCAGATTTGTACATTTGCTGATGACTCTGGTAGTCCAGTTGTGCATAATGAGGGACGTTGAGCGAATGACAGGCCCGCTGCGCATGGCACTTATTTACTTGGGATCAGGAATGGGAGGCAACCTTGCAAGTGCTATCTTTGTTCCATACAGAGCAGAGGTAATATGTTAAAAATGTTGTATATTTTTAAAAACACTCACTTTAAAATTTACATTAGCATCCATGAATTTTACCTCATTATTGATATTCATAGGACACAGAATCCGCTGAATTAGAGTTATGCAACTTGCTTGACACCTTTGCTGAGCAGATTGCGTTATTTACCAATTCAGTTTGTTACTGGAGTTGTAAAATCATTTTAAATAAAATCATTTAGATGTCCCTTTAAAATTAAAAACACAGGCGGGAATTGGAAATATTCAATTTTTAGATGCATGTAAAAATATTAAATCAAAATCTTTTCAGGTTGGTCCTGCGGGTGCTCAATTTGGTTTGCTGGCCTGCCTTATGATAGAGGTACTGGACGTTTGGCCAATGCTGCGTCGACCGGAGCAGGCATTACTGAAGTTGCTGGCGGTGGTGGCTCTGCTACTGCTGCTGGGCCTCCTTCCGTGGGTGGACAACTGGGCGCACGTCTTTGGCTTTGTGTTTGGACTTCTGCTGTCGTCGGCCCTGCTGCCGTTTGTGACGATTGGCTCGGCTCCGTTCTCAAGGCACAGGAAGCGCTTGCAAGTGTGGTTGTGTCTGGGAGGCGCAGTGCTTTTATTCTTAGCGCTCGTAGCAATATTTTATCTCGTGCCAGTGATAGACTGCCCGTTGTGTGATTTGTTCAACTGTCTGCCAATCACGTCACAATTCTGTGCCGAGCAGGATATTAACTTTGGCAGGGACGAGATTGTATGACGTCGACCCCCCTCGGTGCTGCATCATCATCAGCACCATCGAAGGCCATGGCGCACCTAGGGGGGAAATTTGCATAACTTCGAAGATTTTGTCTCTCTCAGTCGTAAAAATCTGCACTCGTCTCAAAACATCAGACATAGCTTGCAAAAAGAATCCATTCTACTCCTTGTTGGAATCATTGAGTATTCTACCTTTTGTTTTGAAATTGGCCTTTCCTCCCTGTTCCTCTGGAGAACAAGCAAGAAAACGCTACATTTTCTTCTAGATGATCGAAAGCCAAGAATATTAATGTTGTCCTTAATTGCAAGTTAAAGGAAGTCATCTGCCTGTGTAAACCGTTTCGGTGAAACGCCTCTTATTATGCGACAAAAGAAGAAGTTGGAAGTGTAAATTTGTGGAATTGGCGATTGCGCGCGTATTGTTACAAAATTATGAAAGAGTCGGCCACTATTACTCGTGTTACATGAAAATGGTTGGGATTAAGTCATTAAGAAAAACTTTGAACAAATCAAGTGACAGTTGTTTGTGATATGTGAGACTTATACTTTTTATCCACAGTGCAGCCGTGTGATATCAACTACTGGAGTCGTTGAAACTAATTCTCAATGAGTGGTGTGTTATAGCCTAAAGTATTTGACACTACAACATTGACGACAACATTGCAAGGCAATTTACTAATGAGACTATCATTAATGTAGTCAGAACGGTGTTAACATTGAATTACGGTGGTAAACGAGGAGAAATTCGGATAATGGACAAGTTTGTTGTTTTCTGTTGTTATGCCATTATTATAAGTGAACGTGAAAATACTTCCCACCTTGCGTCACATCCTAATTACACACAGCAATCTTACTTATCATATAAACAAGAAAATTATTAACGAATGAAATCACTCATGTTTCGCCAACACTTCTTGCTGGCAAATGTGTGGTTTGGTTATTAATGGCAAAAATTGAATATTGTTTTCATTTTCAGTTGCGCATTTTTCATCAAATTCAGCTGTCATCTACTTAAAACTCAGTGCAATCAGAAGTCCTTTCAATTCTATTGATAAGCCTGAATTTTTTATCAGTATGGAAGAAAGTGCTCTTTGTTAATTTAGTACAAAAAACTCATCTTTCGATCTCAAAAAGAAACCAAGTGGACTTGATTCTTGGAATTGTTCTCAATGTTTAATACATGATTTGAGTAAAATCAGACGACAAAATTTAAAATTAAATGAAAATTGATATTAATTTGTTCTACCACATAACGCATAAATATGATTTTTTACCCTGTCTAGTCCCACTAGCCAAAAAATGATCGCAAACTATGTGACTTTATTTTACTCGTAAAGGAAAACGTGAGTGAAATAACAAAAAGCAAGAATTGTATTTATGCCAGACTTCAAGGATAATTAACTATGATTGAGATGTTAACAAAAAGGTATCTATTTATTTAAAAAAAAAAGTTGTTTTCAGAATTGATGGTGGATTTCATATCTCTTGTATGAATATAAAAGTGTATGTGTACGATAATGATGATATTATTTTTATTGTGATTGCATTTATGTTGTAACTCCCTCAGTTTTTATTGAGTACCAGCTATGACTAACAGCTTGCATCTAAACGTTGGTACAGTGCATAAGAATTGCTTGAAATCTGTCTCATCGCATTGCATGTAGGGAAATAACAAATAAAGAAATTACTTCTGAGAGTCGGTCTTGAAAAGCAAAAACATTAAAAGCGCCAAAAGTTAAATTAAAGGGAAATGCATGGATTTGTCACAAAACTGCAAGTGTTGTATGGACATGTATAAGAGCCTATCAGAAAAAGCAAGGGGAAGAGACATGATTCCTGTTTTATATTTCATTTGCCCACAACATTAATTGGTCAAAGAATGCTATGGCAAAGGAGTAAACAAAAAATATATTAACAAAAAGTAAAAAAAAAAATCACAAATGAACAAAGGTGTAAAAATATAGAAGTGAATTAAATATTGGATTGCATTAAAAAACATTCCATCGCAAATTAACAAGAAATATCATCAAATTGATTGTAAAATACAATTATTATTCTTATGTGTACGTTATCGATTAATGAAAATACATTATAAGCGAGCTGTATGTCAATGCTGTGAACTTTTTTAAAAATAATAAAATTAATTGAAAATAAAAATTCAGGCACATTTCTTTGAAATTCCCTTTCCATTTGTAACCGAGATATTAAATTTTCATTTTAAAAGAGTTTTTCAAATCATACATATTGAACTATTTATAAAATTAAATAATTATGTAAATTAATAAAACGGAGAAACTTTGATAGACCCCACCTAATGATCTACTTTCGCGCCATCGTGAATCAAATCTTGGAATGTGATTGGCTATCTCCAAATCAGCGCATGCGCGATTGCGCGTAATCGGACATTACTGTTTATTTACAACGAGTCTAGCACAATCAGCATCAGCACGCTTGTTGGCTTGTTTCAAAACGCACTTTCGCAAGTGTAAACGGGCCATGGAACTAGCGGCGTGAAGACACTGACACACTGCAGTCATGACCTGATCTAGAAAGACACCTTTTATCGGATTTTACAATCTTTTAGGTAAGTTTTGCCCGAGATTTAAAAAAGCAAGCCATGTTATGCAATTTTTAAACTTCAACATTGTTCACTAGCTCGCATCAAAGGTTTCTCCTCAAAGTTATTGGCTTCACAGCAGTTTCCATATTTTTACCTGAATATTTTTTAATTTTCAGATATTAGACCGTCTATTTCCGAGATCAAGCTTGTTTGGAAATTTTACGTGAAATGACGCACAACTCTTCTAGCAGTCAACCAAGTGAGTTTAACAAATTATGCTGAAAAATTTCTTTAATTTTCTCCCTATAGTGTGTATTGGTTTGCAGAACAAGTTGGCAGAAAATTTAGAAAACCTATCAGGCCCCATGGAGATTCAAGGACAGGAAGCGGGAATTTGGCTTTCGGTGTCAAAATTGCAACAGCTTGTATCTTCCTTACCAAAGACACAAAAAATGGAGTGTGATTTCCAAAGAATCAGCCCAGCAACATTTCCAGAGACAAGATTGGCTGATATGTTGGCTGGTAAGACATTTATGATGCATGAATTGGTGAAAGATGACGGATTTTAATTGTGTTTTTTTTGGAGAAACAAATCTCAGTTCCTCAGCACCCAGTACAAATTGTGTGTCAATACCACCAATTGGCGTTTTTTGGGACATCGAAAATTGCCAAGTTCCAAATGGAGTCTCTGCCCTGTCTGTGGTTCAGTTTGTAAGGGAAACTTTTTTCCAAGGTTATCGTGAAGAGGAGTTTGTTGTTGTTTGTGACGTTACAAAAGAAAATAGCCAAGTAGGTTTTCCTGTGAAGTTATGAAACAAATTATAATAAACTGATCCGTCATTTCCCACCAAAGGTTATTCAAGAGTTGAACGCAGCACAAATCGACTTGGTGCATGTGGCATCTATTTGTAAAAATGCAGCTGACGAGAAATTAAGGCAATCCATGCGCAGGTTTGCAGAAAGACATGGGCGTCCTGCTGCCGTTGTACTTCTTTCTGGTGATATTAATTTTGCATCAGACCTGAGTGATATAAAATTTAGGTAATTTTTCCCTTTCAAATTAGTGAAGTCATTTGCAATATTATTTCTTCAAAACAGGAAACAGATCAGAGTTATTCTCTTACACCCGACAAACACCAGTGATGCTTTGATAATGTGCTCCGATGAGCATTATAATTTTGTTGATTTGGCAAAAAGCTTGCCACATCGGTCTATTAAGGTACAACCATAAATTTTTAATTTGAAACTTGATATTTTATCTGCCTCTTTATTTTATTTCAGGGCACCGTTAGTGTACCAGATCCTTTTGACCTAATGATAAGGAATTTGCCAGATAGCAAGGTGCATGGCACAAATCGAACGAGGCAAAGACTGAGGCAGCTTTCGTATAATTGTGGAGGAAAAGTGATTAATGTATCAAGATTTGACGCTCTTTTGAGATTTGCTAGTCATGAAGCAGCTGCAAGGTAAATATTTTCAACATTTTGTTGGTAGTGGTTGTAAATTGATTTAAGGGGAAAGAAAATCAGTAGATTTTATGAGTCAAAATTTAAATTTTGAAAATATTGATCATTACATAATGAATAATACCTGTTCGCAACTCTATGTATAAAAAGTTTCTAATTGAAAATCTTGCTTAATTCGATTGAAAAATAATTATATGAAATTAATTTAATTTTAGTGTATTGACTTGATAAAATGTGTATTATTTCATTGTTTTGATTTGAGAAAAAATAAATTTAAAATTCTATTCGCGAAACATGAATTTCAAAATTCACGACTCACAGGCTGTTTATGTAAATCTAGGTCTATAAAAGAGAAATGAATTTTCGAAAGAAAAAAAAAATATTTTATTGAATTTGCAAGATTTTTAAATAAACACTAGATAAATATTTGTGTTGCAACGGACCTGAAAAAAGCAGTGAAAAAAAGGCGGGCCTGCCGGGCTTGAACCCGACCCCATATAGGGGCTGTGAAGGTTTGCACCTCGTCACTAGCGGGTTCTACCCACTGGGCTAGCACACAAGCCTAACAATGATAAAAAAAAAATGGATTATAAGTGATGATGGGCAAAGAGCCAAACAACAATGAAACATGCTTTGATTGTTGTTTGAGCTCTCTGATTACGCGTATTGTTATGCATCACTCGCTTAAGAGTTTCAAAACTTTCTTCTATTCTCTGAGCGAATTTCACTCTGCTCCAAAGAAATGTCTCTAAACTCACAAATACCTGCACACGGTGCAGTGTATTATGTTCATCATGAAATTCATATCGTTGAGTATGGGTGAGTAGCTTGAAAATGATTGGCATTCTATTTCCACCAAGGCTACATTTGAATTCAGAATTCTTGGAGTTTTTCAAATTTTTATATCCCTCTCTTCCTCCCCTCACTTTTACTTGTTTGTTCGTCTCCATCCATTTTCCTCACTCTTCCGAGGACTGTCTAGAAACATTGCTGGCTGAGCGGCAGCCTCCAACGTTTAAGTGGAATTATCTAATTACGGGTAAAATATTTTTGAAATATGAATGCATATAATTCCTAATTGTATTCAATCCAATGAAAACCTATTGTTGGGGAGTAATTTTTTGTAAATTTTGGCTCATTTTTTTTACCACCTCAAATCTTTTAGGAATCTCATTTGAGATTTAATCTCAGAACTTTCAATAACAATTAGGTTTTTTATCAGTCTTCCTTTCATTTGTTTGTTAGATATTAACGTTTTTTATTTTTCTCTAGATTTATTTCAGGTTCAATCAATTCACAAAACTCCTTGCTTCACTCCTTCGTGATTTATTTTTCTATCACATTTTGCTTTAGTTTTTAACATTTATTAATTTTTTTTATTTGCAAAATTTTGAAACAAGTCAATAATCATTATTAATTTTACACAATTTAAGCTTACAATTAGTTATGAAAATATAAATTGGATTGATTTTTTTTTGACGCCTCATAAAATTTCAAAGTGAATCTAGAGAATGCCAAGAATTCTCCTGTACAGTTTGCTTCTTACAAACTGCATTTCACCATCCAGGACCTAACGTGTTGATGCTACTATTTTACTTTTTCGCAGAGCTCGTGTACGAATGGATGGGGAAGATGTCCTTGGCCAGAGAATACAAGTCAGTAAACCACAGATAGCAAGAAGCGCTAGTGCTGGAGCAGAAAATAAAGCCTGTTAGTCAGACACATGCCTTTCCATGTGGCTTTTCTTACACTTTTATCTTGTAGGTCTAACAGAAGGCGTGAAAATGTCTCTTCAGAACTTCCCTGTTGGCTTTCTGCCTCATGTGCCTCCACCTATGCGCCAGTTTACTTCGGCAGCCACCGGAGCCTTCAGTCAAGCTACTTCACAGCAAGGTAACTTGTTAATTAAAATTAAGCAATCGGATATAATAATAGTAATTAGCAATTAATTTTCATCAAACTGAACAAAAGTTTGCTTCTTTTTTATTTTTTTAAAAGAATTAAATATTAATATTTTCATTTATGGTGTTAATTCAAAGCTGATATATTATGTTCTAGCTCCGTCCTTGGCAACTGCTTCCGAAATGTTCAACTATGCTCTTGTGCCACCGCCAGCAATGGCCATGCCTCCACCACAGCCATCATTCTCACAAGTACTTGCCTCTGGACAGTCCAATAAAAAGCGGACCATATCTCCTAGCATGGGCAGCAAAAACGGCAAGGGAAGAGTGAGCCCATTTCCAGTTCGAGCTGACGCAGATGGCTCAGAAGTATGTTATTTTTTAAATAGATTTTGTAATAAATTAATTAAAATAAAATTATATAAGCAGTCCAAAGCAAGTGGTTCTGCTACTGCTGACAGGTCAGAGAGTCCTGTTGAGCTACAGATTGCTAACCTTGACTTCAACATGGACACAAAAGAAGTTCGTAAAACTTTGTTGGAGGCATTCAAAGAGCACGTGACGGTGAGCTAATGCAAACTTTTGTTTTTCAATTAAATACTTATTGCAAAAATCATGTAGGTGCTCAACGTGTCTGTGTTCACTCAGTCAGATGGTCAGCTTGGAGCCAGAGTAAAAGTACCTTCAAAGAACGACGCTCAGGTGGCCATAGCTGCCCTCCACAGGAAGCGGATTGGCAACCGCCGGGTTCGCATTACCATGTCTAACCAAACCCGAGGTGTCTCTGTCAGTCCCTCGTCTCAGCTAGTGAGGGACAATGTTAAAACTTTGCTTATGGATGTACCTGGACTTACCCTGCCTTTATTCAAGCTTTGCGAGCTTTATGAACGCAGATTTCTCTCTTCAGTAAGTGTTGAATATCTAAATATTTTCATCTTCCAATGTAACAAATATTATTAATTTTAAAGGTCAGCTTGTCAGAGTTGAACCGAATGCGAGACTTGGTCAGTATTACTGGCAGTTCAAACGCTGGCAGAACCATCTCTCTCTTGCCCGATGCTCGCAGGTCAATCACTCCCTCTTTCTTGGAGATGGCTGAGTCGGCTTTAAAGGTTTACTTTGGTGAATTTATCAAATTTTATATTTTTACTCAATGTGCATATTTGTTCAGAATGGACACCCCTCTGAGTTGCCATATTGCCCACGCCACTGCAAGCAAACGGGCCAAACAGGTTGGGCAGATATAAGCCTGGAGCCACTTCCAAATATTCGAGTTCGTCTCTTGGAATTCAGCAGCCAGATCTACCAGCTTCTGCAGTCACACAATGGCTCTATGTCACTCTTCAGTTTGCCATTGTGCTATGAAGCTGAAATTGGTAAACTGGAGACTTACTCTCATGGTGTTCCTCTTGAGCACCTCGTCACTTGGGTGCACGGAGTTGTCTTGAAGTCATCTCCAAATGGAGGCTGCTCCAAAATGCTTTGCTGGGGCGAGAGCACTCCTGCTCACCAATGCCCTGTTCAGTCATTCGATGAACCATGCACCACCGAGGTCGCCCTTGACAGGGCCACATCTCCTGCTCAACTCGCAGCTCAGCTGGCCCTCTTCGGAAGGGAGGTGGTGGAGTTGCTGAGGGGCGCAACCCACTGCCAAATACAGTTCACCAAGTTCATTCCTTCCTACCACCATCACTTTGGACGACAGTGCCGAGTCGCCTCGTATGGCTTCACCAGGCTGATTGATTTGCTCGAGGCCATTCCAACAGTCATTCAGGTAGAAATCAAACTTTAACTTAATTAATTTAGATGTTTCATTTTATTACTTCTAGGTTATTGGTGAAGGAGAGAACAGAGTTGTTGTCCTTGCCCAACAAGCTCAGGTTCGTCGCTTCACTTCTGATCTGATTCGAATTTTGAAAGCTCAAACCAAGAGGCAGGCTATTTTGAGCGAGCTGCCTGATATGTTCACCAAGACGTTCAGCAAAGATTTTGATCCAATCAATTATGGCTTGTGTTCCTTTTTGGATTTGGTTCACTCTGTGCCACCTAACACCATTGTGTTTGAGCCACCAATTCAAGAGGGCCAGCTACCCTCTCAGAACACAATCCTGTCCTTGCCCAAGAGGGAACAAACTGCTGAGGAGGCTGAAAGGACTCGTCACTTTGCAAAAGAGGTTGGTTTCTACATAATTATATATATTTTTTTTTTCAACTTTCATGATTGCAATTTTAAGGTTGTGAGCCTCCTGAGAAATGCTCCTCGTTGTGCTATACCATTCAACAAATTCATCCCTGCCTACCATCATCACTTTGGACGTCAGTGTCGTCTCTCAGATTTTGGTGTTACCAAACTTACTGAATTACTGATTGCTGTTTCTGATGTTGTTGAAGTAAGACTTTTTGCGTTTAAGCTATAGAAATTTTTTGAACATATGATGACATCCGAGAAAGGTAGAGAACCTGGTTAGAGTTGAGCCGAGCTTTCAGTTCTGGAGCCTCCGACCCCTCACTGACCACAGAAGCTTTGATCTTATCTGATTCACTTGATTATTCACCATTTAAATTTGAAAATAATAACTATTCTCATTAAGAAATTCTCTGTTTTAGATAAAAGATCTACCCAACGGAGAACGCCACATCATTTTGTCTCTGCTGGAGCGTCAGAGTGTTCTCGCAGACCAGCTGAGGCACCTGCTCTTGCGCCACGGCGGCCGCATGCTTCTTGACCAAATCAACGCCAGCTACCAACATGAGCATGGAGTTGCTCTCGATCCAGAAAAATATGGAGCCACTAATCTTTTTGACTTAGTCAACAACATTTCCTCTTGGCTGCAAGTTGTCAGCTCCAGTAAAGGACCATGTGTCCAAATCGTCAAGCAAGTCCAGAATTTGAAAGTGCGAGTGCTGTTCATCCTGATGGAAGAAAACCCTCGGGTGAGTTATAAATTAAGCAAACGCCAAAATTTATTGAAAGGATGAAAGCATAAAGGCCGATCTGACGGTTGAGCACATGCTGAGCTCTCGAATGATCTGAATGCCGAAGCGAACCTGATCAAATTTTCTTCTAATGATTAATTTCTTTTATTTTGTTTTATGCCGAGAATTGTCTAATTTTGCTCATAACTAAACAGGCCACCATGAAAATTGATGACCTGCGTTTGGGCTACGAAAAGATGTACGAAAGCACCCTGAGCATATCCGATTTGACCAATTTGGACAAGATGTTGTCTTTGGACAGAGACAAGGTGACACTGACGCCAATCTACAAGTGTGCTGCCCAGATATTTGCTGTGATCTACGAGCAAAAAGAGCCAGTTCCTCTGAACAACCTGTTCAACTTGTTTGTAGTCAAGTGGGGAAAACCACTGAATACCGCTCAGTACGGCCATTCGTCAGTGACAGCTTTGCTGAATTCGATTCCTGAAGTTTTCAGCGTCACTGGAAAGGCCAACAAACGGATGGTCTCAATTCAACAGTTCCTGGAAGGTAATGATTTTTTTGACATTCTTGTATTTTAAAGTTTGCTAATTCATTATGTTGACAGATGCAAAACCATCTTTGAAGTCATCATCTAAGTCGCAGACACAAGTGATGCCAGCATTTAACAATAACACTCTCAGCCATCAAACGCCAGGTACTTTAATTAATACATGTTTTCATTATTTTCACTACATTAAAAATTTCTTTGTTTTAGGTGCTGCTGGAGGAAGTGATTCGGACTTTGGCTCGATTACTTGGGGATCTCTTCTACCCACACCCAATGCTTCCCAGCAATCTCAGGGGGTCAGTTTAAATTTTGTACAACAATTATGTAAATATTTCGGATCAAGAAATGATGACAAAAAAGGCCGAGTTTGAACATTCCGGTTGAGAACTCCGAGTTCTCCCTGCATTTTAATGAAATGAGCTCTTGCGAAGCGAATGCCTGTCTGATCTTGAAAATACCTTGCTTATTTGCAAATTGCTTCAAGCTTTATTCCTAAACCTTTTTCCCGTGCATGTCTCCAGTTGCCTTTTGCTCCTCAATCTTGCATGCCTTGGATTGGAAAGCCATTAGGCCTGCAGCCCACTAATTACTTCAAGGTAGTCATTTTCATTGCTTCTAGTTAAAGCTTGAAATCACAGTTACTTAAAATTGTTATTTTCAGGACATGGGCGTTCAGAACGGAGGAATTTGGCCTGCAGCTGCCATCAATCCAATGAGTTCTTGGTCTCCACCAAAGGCTTATCCGCACCGCCAATCTCCTGACTTGAGTTCTTTGCCCTTGCCTACCTTGGATCTCACTGCCAAAGTTTCTGAGGCTCCTTTGGACCTCTCTGATTCAGGCATTGGGCACTCTTCGCCTTTGTCTTCGAGACGTAAGTATTCAGCTTTTGATGTCGCTCGAAGGTTACAGATATATTTTATGTAGGTCGTTCTCGCTTGGCTGCCAACTTTAGCAACCCCATTGATTTGCATTGAGGATTTAATGTGATGAGTATTGCTGCACAAATTGTTTAAAAGGACAGGGATAATTTTAAATGTTTCGTCTTTTTTTAAAGTAAGCTCTTCAGTTTCCTTAAAAGAGCTTCTTAATAGAAAAGAGTTTTTGTATTCTCTTAGCGCATTACAGTGGTCTGCCGTTTTGGTTATTATTTTAACGTCTGTGTTACGTTTTCGTACTTAAATTATATGAAGACTGAAAACCTCCCAAAAATTAATGTCCTGGCCTTTGCTGCAGATTGTGTTGAATTTTTCAGGAGTTACTTATATTATGAAAGCTATTTGCCTGGAGTAATTGGTCCCAAAATTATTTTATTACATGAGTCTGACCAAGTGTTTTTATAAGAAGGTTATTATCACCGTAACTTACTCAATCGTAGAGTATCCCCTTCAAGTACATTTTTTGTACAGGATTACATGACCTGTTTATTATGTACTTCAAATCTTAATATTGTAACAAGCCCCCCTTTGATTTTATTTACTTGAAAGGGTAAAGTGAAAAATGAGTGCAAATGTTCCATCGATGTTCATCATCTCTGCCAAGAATGAACAATAGTATATTTAACAATAATTGAAAGTATTCCCTGTCCTAAATCAATGTTTTAAGAAAAGCAAAATATATATCTATACTTTTTCTACAATTGGAGACTTTTATTTCAACAAATTTACATAACATGTGAGAAAGTTTTCGCCCAACAAGCATTTTTACTATGTTTCTGTGACTGCAACCTTCTATTTTTTTACTCTTCAGCAGCCGCTGGAGTTTCCCTCATTCCGCTGCCGACTGGGCCATGACGTCTTTCCCAAACCATGCGGTGCTTCTGCTTCATGTATGCATCCTTTACAGTGCCATGACGTCCCAGGTCACCATCTAAAGATAGCTCATCGAAATGAAAAATTAAGGAAACTTAATTTCACATCCTACATTTGCAAAACCAGTTTGTCTCTGCTTTCTTGTAGTTTTCAAAAATATCCTTGCACTTGACTCCAGCATCAGGGCCATTGAAAACAGTGCAATCTTCCAAGCGGACTCGCAGAATAGTCAGAATTTCGTTCTCAACATCTCTGGAAAACACAAAAATTTTAAATGAAATAATAATTATTTAAAAACTAATTTACTTGTCTCTTTTGAACTGCTCATTGGCCTCATAGAAGCAGATTCGATCGTCGGTGTAGCACTCGTCAATTGTGGGCACCCTGCGGAACTTCTGGTGGTACCAAGGGTAGCTCTCGCGGTTGGGAGTCACAACCCTTTCTGCAAGAAAATTATAACAATAACAGCGATGTTAATTAATTCACAAAGAAAAAAGGCTTATTAAATTATCAGTGTATGTATGTGTAATAAATTTCTTGAAAATCACAGTGTTAAGAGAGGCTTATTCTGTTTAAAGATTGTTTTAATAAAATCTTCAACACAAATTTTGTATTGAGAGGAGCTAGATTCAGGAATGAATGAAGACTAATAACATGGAGAATGGAGAATATAAAAATACATAACAAAAAATTGAATTGTGTTCTTTGGAATGAAGGAGTTATAATGTGTACCTCTGAACCAGGTGACAGGTCCGTCAACCACACTAATGACTGAATTGATAAAGCCATCGAATATTTGACGAGGCAACTTGTTGTCACCCATTTTTCGCAAAATACAGAACTGTGCCAAAAGAAATTTATAATTTTGCTATTTTTGCTGGTGTCCGAAAGCCGAAGAAAGTATGGCGGAGATTTGTACTATTTGTAGGGCTTTCGATGTCGGCGAGCAGATGGCGCACAGAGCCTAAGTTTCGGGAGAAGGCGTAGAAAGGGCGCTAAACGTTATGTATAATTCGTATAATTTATAAACTTGTATCCCTTGTTGGGTTTGGGTGAATCGAGGATCGGGCACGTATTTCTCTTATCAACAACAATTCATACTAACAAAATACACATAAAAAACAAATGCAGTCTAAGGTGAAGCCTTGCTTTAAAAAGCTAATTTTATTTATGATGATTCTCGCGGATTCTCGGCTCTCCTCGAGCCACGCCGTTATCCCGCGTCCCGCGTTGTTTCCAAGGTTGTCTCCCGCCGTCGTGCGCCCACTGCCAAGGTGCATGGAAAAATCTTTCTATGCACCTTGCCCACTGCGCTGCAAGTGCAAAAATAAAAAAGAAAGGCGTGGCACTCGTGGCAGCCACTCAAGCCACTGCCAGAGCATTGCCGGCTTTAACGGCAAAGGCAAAAGGCAACAACAGATCCTTAAACGAAACGAAAACAAATTACTGCAAGGAACAACAACAAGCTCCGGCAACAAGGTAAGAATTAATTAGCATAACAGAAAAAAGTTGATCACCTTTCTGGTCACACAATAATGGTCACTTAAATTGATAGGTAATTGCTATAATTAACAATTATTGTCTCCTCCTTATCCTCAATAGTCCTTATTCATAAATGTTTATTTGGTTTATTCATAATTATCTCATCTCATATCGCGTTTGTTTGGATTATTTACCAGGATCCATGTCTTGTTGAGATAAATAACAACAGTAGTGTTATTATGATTTATTGATATGTGTGTATGATTATGGTAATACTTAATTATTTTCATGAACATTTTAGCTGACTAGAAACTCTTCACATAATGGACTTGCTAAATTATTCTCCCTCGCAACAAGACGGCAGGGAGAGTGGTGACGACAAACTCACAGTTTATCAGTGCAAAAATTGCAAAGCCGTATTGAGTAATGACAGATTCAGAGTGGAGAATGACATTGACCAAAAGAAGATTTACCTACAAGGCATGTATTTTGACCTTCATGAAATGAGATTTATTAAAATTAAATAAATTATTATGCAGACATTGAAAACTGTTTGATGGAGACATCAGTAAAAACCTCAAAGAGCCAAATTGACTACAAGTGCCAATATCGAAACCTCGAGTGCTCGCAATGTCACAGACACCTTGGCCGACAGTACTGCAAAGTGACAGAAAAGCTAAAGCACCTGGATGGACTCAATGTTGTTGATACGGCTGAGATTTCTTTGTAATATTATTTTTTAAATTAAATCAATGGAGGTTAATAATTATCTTGTACTGTTGCTCAGATTTACTATTCGAGTACCTCTTGGCGTCAGTCGATCAGCAGATCACGAGAGGCTTGAGGAAAGGGTGAAACAGCTTGAAGATAAGTTGGCGGATGCAAGCAAGAAAATTGAAGATTTGGCTCTTGTCTGCATCGACGCTTGCAAAGACAGAGTTGGAATCAAGGAAGCTGTTGCCAATTTGCTTTTACTGATATCAAATGAGTTTGGTGGTGGTGACAGTGACTGACTGAATTTTTTTTAATAGTATAACAATTTTAGAGGGTAAAATATTGCTTTAATAGTTTATAATTTTAAATTGAGGTTATTTAAAATGTATATGATTATGGGCAATAATGACAGTATAAACACTCCAATTAAATCTGGAAGACATAGTTATTTAAAAATCTGAATATTTTATAAGATCTAATCAGTATGGTAATTAATTCTTTATTGCCATAAGCATAAATGAGTAAAATAAACTAAACAGAAGCTCCACATTAATTGCAATAGACAAAAGCTTGTCAGACATGAACATGTTGTGCAGCGTTCATTATCATTTAGAATTGCAATGCTTTTTTAAAAGATTTTTGACAACAGAAGGGTAATAAAGAATAATATTACTAATAAAATGACGCAAATTGATTTATTTTAGATTTTTACATTCACTCATCACTTTTGCTTCAATTGTCAAGAAATGTTACTTCCTCAAAACAATATCAATCATAAATGCATAATAATATAGTCCAGCATATAAACCAACTCATAATGAACTACAATTAGACAATATTTTATCTTCAAGTTGGTAACCTACTGAATTTCGCATGTCGCTCCAACAGCATTTAAAGCTGCAGCCAATTTTTCAGCTTCTTCTTTTGGCAAATCTGCTTTGACAATGGTTGGTGCACTTTCAACAAATTTCTTAGCCTAAAAAAAATATATTAGCATTAAACTGGCTTAGAAAAATTGCAATATAAAATACCTGAACAAGGTTCATGCCTTCGACGAGCGCCTTCACTTCTTTGATGAGTGCCACCTTTTTCGAATCATCAAACTTCATCAATTTAACTGTGAAGGCAGTCTGAACTTTTTGAGGCGCTTCTTCTTCCTCCTATTTGAATGATTATAATTATTTTTAAATTCACATTAAAGCAGTTTTATAATAAAGCGCACCTCTGCTGCAGGAGCTGCAGCAAAAGCACCAGGGCCAGCCATCATTGCCACTGGAGCGTCAGGCAAGTTAAGTGCTTTCTTCAAAGCTCCGCTGAGTTCAGAAACCTCAAGAAGGGTTAGTTTGGAGATCTCTGTGACTAAAGATTGGATTTTTGGGCTGACAGGCTGTTCTTGGCCTTCAGGAACCGGCTGCGCAAGACTTGATTGATTCAATTTTTGGCAGGCAGGAACTGCAAGTCTGAAAATTAACAAAGCTAAAATTAACTTCCTATACGGGAAATAGTGTTAATAATTTTTTTTTTTTTTTAATTAACTTTAACACGAACCTTTTAGAAACGAGACCCGCATGGCTTAGCAGAAGTCTTCCTCGGCAAAGCATTATTTTTGTGTGTGAAAAAGATCCTACGCACAGAAATTCACAGAGATATTTGGCTGGGCTTTAATCGCAGTATTTTTGATAAAATTGCAGTGAATTTTATGTGACACACTAGTCTTAAAAACACAAAATTGTCAGTGTTATTTTAATTTTACCATGTGAGTGTGAAACTGTGAAAGAAAATTATTTGGGGGCGTGCCCGTGCCTGTACTGCCTACAGTATGTACCGGAGAAAACTTTCAGATGCCATGAAGTTGTATGCGCAATAGCCAAATATTCTCTCTGCGCATTAAAATTGGTGTCTTCAATATCTTTTCAAACTACTTTCTCCAGTCTCCATGTCTGTTGACGGCGAGGCAATGTACATCGTTGATGCACTTTTGCAGAATGAGAGCAAAATTTCGCCAAAATTTCATCTATTAAACAGCAGTTATGGTAACATTTTTGATATTTCATATAATTATTGGTTTAAAATTTCTGATAAATAAGTAAAAAGAGAAGTTTTACTTCTGGAAAAATCGTAATCGGACTTTTCGTTTGCACTGGATTCGATCGCAAGACCTCTCGGTTGCTCTGATTGAGCTCTTCATTCTTGAAGGAAACACATTCAAACGAAAAATACTAAATTAGCAATTAAACTTAATGAAACTAAATTGATAATTATTTAATGTATGAAATTAACGAATTCGGTTATAAAATGGGTATCGAGTCTGGAGTTGTAAAATAAAAAAAATATTTTTAACAATATAATAACGCATAATTATGTACATATTTTGTAAAATTATCAAAATGAAGATATCAGTGTATATTAATAATTTTTCTTTGATTTGTCATAATTATACAATATACAATTATGTATACTGCAAAAATGATATACAAAAACTTGCAAAAACTGATTGTAATTTGAATCATATTTTGATTATTTGACTGTCAGTTGACTGTGGTACATAAATATTTTTAATTTCGATAATTTCAAAAAATTTTAATTTACAATAATTATGCAGATAATTTTTCGTTTATTAATTTGTATAAGGTTAGGAAAGAAAATTAGATTATTTTATACTGAAATTAATCTATGTCCATATATTCAGAGTTCTAGAAAAAAGAAAGCTCCTCTGGTCATCCCCAGCACGGAAAATAGCAAAAAGGTGTCCCCTTCAAACGCACAGCAGGGGCTTGGTGTAGACATCACTAAGCTAATGTCGCCCGCACAGATAAATGCAGTGAAAAAACACATTTCTAGGTAATAGCCAAATTTAATCATTTAGATACCAATAACAAATAAGTTTATTTTTAGTGGAAATGCTAAACAAATCATCATCATACCTAACGACTCACCTTTACCTGCCAACCAGCCAGGCACAAGCACATCTCAAGTGCTTCTTTCAATCCCGGAGGCGAATGCCAGCCAGGGAAATATTGCTCAGGCAGACATATTGATATCCCTGCCAGAAACTCAGACCACAGTGGTTGGCAGCTCTCGGCAGAAAAGCAAACGTGGTCGACCAAACAAATATATTGCTTTGGATAATGGAGATATTGTTCGGCAATCCTTGCCACTTAAACAGGGAGAGCAGAAAACTTCTCTTAACAAAAGAAAATCTGTTGAAGAGAGCAACACAAAAGAAGAAGAAGAAGAAGAAGTGGTAACACCAAAAAGAAGATCGACACGGACCAGTGCCAACAAGAGCAAAAAATACGAAGACTTCAGCGACGGGAATGATAACAGCGAAGATGGAGGGGATCCTTTGAATACAAATCTCACACTTATCACAGCTGAAAAAATTGAAATTCCCGTTACTCCTCTGCCAAGTACAAAATATCTTTATTTATAAAACTTATGAACCCATTTTCTGTTAACAGAACGTAAGAGGGGACGGCCCAAAGTAGTTGACAATGATTTTGAGGTTCCTGGGGAACATAACCCCAAATCAAGCAGGAAATCTTCGCTAGCCGAGGATGAAAACAATGTGCCACTATCAAAAATTGACCTTAATGATGTGGTTGTTTGCGGTGCATGCTGCACACAAATGCCAAGGAAAACGTTAGAGCTAAAAATTGTTCAAAGACAAAAATTACTGAAATTTTTAAATCATCTCCAGGTACCTTGTGCACAGACTGGCAACACACCATGGTCTGACATGGGTGGACGGAGAAGACGAGCCGATCACGTTTTACAATTCAGATCAAAACTATTTAAATTATTTGGGCTCGCTAATAAGAGAAGCTTTTGTAAAATACGGTAAAACATCATGCAAAAAGACAGGTGTGTAATGGATGGTTTTTCATTTAAAATTTACTGAGCTAAAATTTCAGTTCTGCCGTGCCAGAAGTGCAAAAAAGCTTGTGCTTCATATATGGGTTACTTATCTCACTTCACCTTTTGTGGAATTACTATTGATGAGCATGACAGAAGAATGTATCAGTGTCCAATTTGCGATAGAAAAGTGACCCCAGCAAGTCGCTACTACCACGACAACACTCACAAAGCAGCATTAGACTACATAGAGCCTCCCGAGTTTGTGGATGTAGGTGTTTCAAAGCGAGCTGCTGCAGTCAAAGCTAGGTCATTCATGCAAAATCTTGGTGAAGAAGCAGGGTCCTATGATGAACCTTCAATTGAATACACGGTCATTGAAGTGGAATCAAAGAAGGTTGGAATTTCCGCAAAGAGAAAAAATAATATAATAATAAAGAAAATCACAAGGGTATCGCATGGAAGAGGAAAACTTGGGAAAAGGATCTACTCACAAATGGAGTTCTAAAGTGCCGGTACCTTGGCTGCGATTTCTCTGTTTTTGATGTTGGCAACTTTGAGAAGCATATTTGTGAGACCTGCCCGTTAAAAGCAAAGGTATGTGATTTTCTTGAATATTAAATTGGAATTCGTCCCCGAATGTATAATTTTTGTGAGTTTCCTGATATACAAATTAAAATGTTATTTTCATCTACACCAAGATAAAAAGTAAGGTCCCACCGAGATTTGAACTCGGATCGCTGGATTCAGAGTCCAGAGTGCTAACCATTACACCATGGAACCGCTAGTGATTGGAGAATCTACAGAATGGTTTTTATCCCGCGCATGTGCTTATGCTAGCAATCTACTTTGTAGTTTTTACCTTGGGATTCGGGATCTGAAAATAGCATTATAAACTTTCTTTACCCCCCGCCCCCGTTGCTTTCTGCTCCTCAACCCTCAAATTCCAATTCAATGAACTTGCTAGGCAGAGAACAAGAAACTTGTTGGTGGAGAGGTCCCAGGAAGCAAATTGATGAAATAATTATTCTACGGGAAATTCTTCAATAAACTCTAATGAATTAAATAAATTAAATTTAAAATTTTTATTCGATCTTATGTCAAGGGCTTTGGATGAAATTTTTGATTGCCATTTACTATAATAGCTAAAAATTAGTAATAGATTTGGATGTACAAAAAAATTATTCTCAATAGGAACTGAAAACTTTAATTCTCACCGTCATTTAAAATGAAGGTCCCACCGAGATTTGAACTCGGATCGCTGGATTCAGAGTCCAGAGTGCTAACCATGACACCATGGAACCTATTGAAAACATGGAATAAATACATTTTTCTCAGTTCTGCTTAATTTTAAAATAAATGCTGATTAAACATTTAAATTATTGTAGAGATAAAAATAATATGTCCATTTTATGTTACAGATCTTTATGTGCAGCGAATGCGATGTAAAATATTTGAGTGAAGCTGAAGTCATGCAGCACTTTAAAATTAGTCATAAAGCTGATAAATTAATAGAAGTAAGCAATTACATAATTATAGATAATGTACTTACATTTTTCCTATCCTTAGTCCTATGCCGATAGAGATGAAGCAGATGAGTTAGAGCCAGAAATCACAAAGGTCAGGTTAATTAAGCCGAGAATAAGGCAAGTTGCTCTTCCTGCCAACGACCAGGGTTTCAACATCTACCAGGGTTCCCTATTAAGCTGCTTGGCACAGCAGAGATTGGTCAAAAACAAAGTGCCGTACAGATCAGCATTGGATTGGATGTTGGAGTTCTGCATCTTAAATTACAGTATGGTAATTTTGTTCCCTGAGCTTTTCGAGGATCTCGAATCGTCAATACTAAGAGATCCTGACTCCTATTTGCCGCTTGCCAAGAACTCAATTCTATTCACAAATTCCAATTCAACAAAATTGAAAGCAACCCAAGCATTCTCAGAGAGTGCCAACTGGAAATCCCTTGCTTGTCTTGAAGGTGGGTTCACTCTAAAAAATTATTTGGTACCCGGCCCTTTACTCAGCACACTTTTATTTCCAGGAGTCATAACTGATAATGTACCCACAATTTTTGCTGGTGGACCTATTTTGTCATTAGCTTGGTGTCCAACGCCTCTGTCTTTGACCTGCAAAGAGCAGTTGCTTGCAATTTCATGCCACAGAAGCATGGATTCTAAACTGGGTTTCCAAGGAATACTTCCACAGAAAAGTCTTATCCAAATTTGGTCATTGGGTCAGTTGAGCAATACCACACAAGCACCAGGAGCTCCATCTCTTTTTTGTGTCCTGGGCCATGAATGGGGAGCTGTGAGACAGCTTGAGTGGTGTCCATCTGGCTGTTGGGATGCTGAGAATGGAAAACTTGGGCTGCTGGCTGCAGCGTGCGCTGATTCAACAATCAGGATCATTCCTATCATCAACAAGAAATCAAAATTGCCCTACATTAAAGCAAAGGTGAACTTAAAACTTTAATTTTATTACTTATAATTAAAATAATAACTTTTACCAGGCGTCCGTGACTCTAGTTCCTCACCTGAATCAAGAAAGGCTGAACCAATGTATAAGCCTCAATTGGTATAAAGGAAAAGGCCACAATTTTGTTGCCGGAGGCTATGCAGATGGCCTGGTTTGTTTCTGGAACTTAAAAACTGAGTCGCCGCTGCTGAAAATATCCCACACTGAAATTCTTCCGTACTTAAAGTTCTTCGCACACCAAGGACCAGTGGTTTCAATCAAAATGTATCCCCATAATGGTCCAAAATTTGTTGCAACAGGTGGACTTGTGGACAAGAACTTCTTGTTGTGGAATTTGGAAGAAATAGGCACAAATCCAATCCCTCACAACCCTAAAAAAGGCAAAGTTACTGCCATTGAATGGCTTCTGAACTGGCCGACTCCAGTTGTTTCATTTGAAGATCAGGGCCAGGGAACCTTGGCTGTTCCTCCAAGAAATTTCATGGGCCAATGCAACCTCCTGCCACAAAACTCATCAACAAGTGACGTTGAAAAATCCGATTGGCTTAACTGCATCGCTCACAGCACTGGTGCTGGAGAAGTTTCATTATTCCTCTGCAATCAGATGATCTTTGGAATGGACAGTGACAAGAACATCAAAGAGCGGCGGGCCTTGCTGACAAGGACAGTCATCTCTGATTCAATTGTGAAAAGAAGCGAAGATGGAAAATTGAAATGGGAAGACCCCAGCGACTTGTTCATCGGAAACTACGAGGAGGCGAGTGAACGGGGAGTTGTTTTTAGCGACCGCCTTTTAGATGCAGAAAAAAAGTGGCCTGCAGGAAGTGAATCTGCCCAATCTGGAGATACAATGGATCCCTGTTGCTCTGCCAATTATCCTCTTGCCAGTATTAACAAAATTGCGTGGAATGCCAATGTTTCTAGTTACGGATGGATTGCTGTCGGGTATCAGTGTGGCTTGGTTCGTGTTTTGCACATTGGAACTAGCGAATCAGACAAATTGTTACTAAGTAGTTCTTTGTCAGATTGCATGTGAAAAATTATTTTAATCAGAAGTAAGCTCCCATCCTAATTTTTTTTTCAAAATCGTAACTAAAGTTGAAATTTTAAATTTTTGTTTGACGAATAAAAACTGATATAAACAATATATTGCAACGAATTTAATCAACTTATTAATTAAAGCCAAATTAATAAAAAAAAAAAATATAATTCAAATATTATCAGACTGCAGCAGTTTTCTTTGTCTGCTTAAAACAATTATTTCTGTACCAACCTGGCCCTATATATTCCTATATCAAATGTAAAACACATAATACCCTGACTGCTATTCCTGCTAATAAATTAAAATAATATCGTATTATGTAATAACATACACATGACTTCTTTTGTTATAAAAAAATACGATTTTTTTTAATAGTTTTATCCAATATAAATTTCACTTCACATTCCAAATAATGAAAATAAAAAATCTAAAAAATTGTTATTACATTTTAGCGAGAAAAAATGCTTCCTTTTTAGTCCAGAAAAATTACAATAAGTTTTAACGCTCAACCGGTAGAGAGCAGCACAAATCTTTCACTTCGCGATCCCCAGTGAGCACGCCCACTCTAAATACTCAAAACTTGCTAAACAAAAATGGCGTTGCACGTGCCGAAAGCGCCCGGTGTGGCTCAAATGCTGAAGGAGGGCTCCAGGGTGAGTATTCTGCCGAATTTTCGGCACTATCACAGAATTAAATTTATGGGTTATGATTTGACATATAAAAAAGTGGATGTTTAAGTGGATTAATTCATAAAAACCGCTTGTCAATACCATGTGGGTGCTACGCCCGGCGACACCTTCCAGATTATTCCTATGACTAAACGTGCACAGCACAAGATGAAAATTGTCCTTTCTCTAGACTTGCAGTTATTTATTTTAACCCTCGATTTCTTAAATAATAAAATAATATGCGCTTATAATTTTGTACAAACCTGCGACAGAACTAGTGCATACAATGAAAAAATCTTTGTCAAATTGAAAACATTCTCATTAAATTTTGCATCTGAGAATTGACCAGATTTCTGAAATTAGTAAGTAATCATTGAAGGAAGTTTAATATCTGCTTATTAAGTTTGTAGTATGCTATATATTGAAGATAATAATATAATTTAATCATTCATAATTATCGTTTCTGCGTGTATTTAGCTCTACAGTGGCCTCGAGGAAGTCGTCTATCGCAACATCTCGGCCTGCAAGCAGTTGGCCCACACTTTACGGACTGCCTATGGACCAACCGGCATGAACAAGATGGTCATCAACCATCTGGAGAAGTTGTTTGTCACAAACGACGCAGCCACAATCATCAAGGAACTTGAAGTCGAACACCCTGCTGCCAAAATGCTTGTTTTGGCCTCTCAGATGCAGGAGCAGGAAATCGGCGACGGAACAAATTTCGTCATCATTTTTGCAGGCGCCCTACTTGAAGCAGCAGAGGACCTTTTAAGAATGGTATTTTTATATTGTAAAAATATTGAGACAAAAAGCTGATTTTCTTTTAACAGGGTCTTACTCCCACGGAGGTTGTCGAAGGCTACGAACTGGCTCTAGAAAAGGCACTAGAAATTTTGCCTACTTTGGTGTGCAAGGAGGTCAAAGACCTTAGAGATGCTAAGCAAGTGGAAGAAGCATTGAAAACCGCCATTTCTAGCAAGCAATATGGCCAGGAAGATTTCCTCACAACTTTGATCACAAAGGCTTGTGGTAAATAAGTGGCTTCTGATTTACCACATATTTCTAAAACATCTCTGAACTTTCAGTGTCGGTAGTGCCTGACAAGAGCACCTCTTTCAATGTCGATAATGTCCGCATCTGCAAAATCGCGGTAAGAATTTGTTAACAAGAAAATTATGCATTATTTAACTCGGCAAATAAAAATTTTAACAGGGATGTGGTCTCCTCTCATCGGAAGTTGTGCCTGGAATGGTCTTTAAGAGATTTGTTGAAGGAACAGTGTCTAAAAAGTCGCAGGCCAAGGTTGCCCTTTACACTTGTCCAATCGACATTATGCAGACGGAGACTTCGGTAATTTTTGTTTTAATTAACTTGATCTTGTTTTCTGATCTTAAATTTTTAGGGTACTGTTCTCATCAAAACCGCCGAGGAATTGAAGTCGTTCAGCCGGGGAGAAGAGACACAGCTGGAGGATCAGATTAAGGGTCTCAAAGACGCTGGCGCCGATGTGGTGGTTGCTGCTGGCAAGTTTGGCGATATGGCCCTGCACTACTTAAACAAGTACGACATGATGGCCGTCAGACTCACTAGCAAGTTTGATCTCCGTAGATTATGCAAAGCCACCAATGCAACTGCTCTTCCCAGATTGGTAATGAAATGCAAAATAAAATATTTTTAATTGCTCATTAATTTATTCCATTTAATGATAGATCCCACCAAACAAAGAAGAGTTGGGTTATGCTGATTTGGTTTCCGTTGATGAGGTTGGTGACACTGGAGTTGTGATTTTCAAGATTGGTGAAGGAGAATCCAAGATCTCTACTGTTGTTATCAGGTAAATTTTCATATCACATTAATTGCATTCAATTTTATTTTAATATAAAATATGAATTAAATTTTCTTGTTTTTTAGAGGAGCAACTGATAACTACATGGATGACATCGAAAGGTGTATTGACGATGGAGTCAATACCTACAAGGGTCTTACTAAAGACAACCGACTTGTTCCCGGCGCTGGAGCTGTTGAGTCGGAATTGGCCTTATTAGTATGTTTTTGTCTTTTTAGGTTTATTAGAGGGACTAAATTATTTTCGTTCCTTCAGGTGAATCGTTTTGGCGAGGGTCGCTCAGGGTTGGAGCAGTATGCCATCCAGAGATTTGCACATGCCTTGGAAGCCTTGCCTAAGGCTTTGGCAGAAAACTCTGGAGTTAAGGGAACAGAGCTGCTTGCCAAGCTTCAGTCCGCTCATGCCCAAGGCCAGAATACCAGTGGATTGGACATTGAGTCTGGCAGCTTGCTAAATTCTGTTGAATCTAAGATCTTTGACCTTTTCATCACCAAGTACTGGGGTCTTAAGTACGCCACTAGCGCTGCCTGCACAGTGCTAAAGGTGGACCAGATCATTATGGCAAAGCGTGCTGGTGGACCGAAAGCGAGGGCTCCCGGTGGCCAGGACCAGGATGACGACTAAATGTAAGCATTCTGCCACTATTTTTCCGGATCCAACTCGTCTCAACGTTCAACGGCATTTTTTTCATTATAATTTTTGCCTGGACTGGATTTGGGCCGTCTTCTATTAATTCCGATGCACTCGCCACTCTCAACACAAAATTGAAACCAATGCGAACGATTATTTTGATCCAGTATTCCAGCACTAACCTAGACGGTGCCTAATTTATTAACAATTCCACGGAAAAGCAGCTCTGTGATGTGCTGTTTATGATCACTGGAGCTGTAATAAATGCGTCAATCACTAAAAAAAATTTAAAAACGTGCATTTCTGATAACACCTATATTTGATATATATTTTTACTTAATTATTTAAAACTTTATCATAATAGTGTGTAAATGATCTGAACAGATATAATAAGTTTTCAAATACTTGTAAAATAAGTCCTTGAAGATGGGGAAAAATTAAACAACTTGGGCTATTTAAATAATAATAATAATAAAAACGATTGACATAATTTTGATTAACGTAGCCAATTTATTGACATCTTTGTAAAGTCAGAACCAATCAAGGCCTGCACAGCGCAAAACAATTGCTTGACAGTTGTTCCTGAGCAAAATGTGTGTTTTGAGGCTGCAGATCAGCGCCAATCCGTACTGACAATAAAAACCATTCGGAAGTATTTCTATCAGGGTATGCATCGATGATTGAGCCATTCATTGCAGTGAAAGGCAGGCTCGATGTGCACCAACCAAATTTCCCCGAGCCCAGTCTGCTAGCAGCTAACCAAGCATGTTGAGTGCGACCAGCTGAACCTGTGTAGTTTTTAATAAATATAAATTCAATTTTGGCTGATCAAGACATTACTCAAGGGAGCACTGACAATGCAGTTGACGTTTGTGCTGTTTTCAAAATAGGCCATTTTCAGGCCATATTTGCAGCAGAAGGATGATGCTGACTGATAGGATTGCTTTCATTGGATGGGAGGAATTATTTCATAATTTAAATCTTTATTGCCATTACCATAATACTTTGATGCAAATATTTGATTCCACACGCAGTAAAAATCTGTCCGTTTTGACTTGCTGAGAAGAGATTTTAAATGAATTATTTTAATTAATTGATTAATATTATTTTTCTGACGTTTATTGTTTTCATAGTCAGCTCGCAAAATGGGCTAAAGTTTGATTTTCTATCAAGTGAATATTTTGAATTGAGTTTTTTGATTACGTCCATTGCACAGTTAAAATCTGTGAGGCATTTGTGCACCAAACTTGGTAGAGGCACAGATTCCTGTGTTCAAATTAAACAAATTATTCTTTACTTTCTTACCTTCTCAATGTGCATAACCTACCGCAGATGAGTTAACTTCGACTGTATTTATGATGTTGGCTACCAGATCTGGCGCTTTTTCCTGCCCACATTGGTACACAAGAGAAGCTGTATCGCACTCGTCCATTCCCTCTATATTTATTAAGTTTTTCAGAAAATTAGTTAGTTCTAAACTTTTTTTAAACATGTATAAAGAAAAACCAAATATTTATGAGTCATTTTCAATATTTTGCGTGTGCTCACTCTTTGATCTGCAGCTTGAAACTGCGGCCATATTTTGTTGCAAACTAGTTGAGCTTGCCGCCAAACTTTCAGCCATCTCTAATATCTTTGCGTCAACGAGCTTTCCATTCAGCATCTGTTTACTCAATTAAAAAAAAAAAAAAAAAAAAAATGAGAAAACCAAATTAAAAAACTTTGCATACAAATCCTCCATTCTCTCCCATGCATTTCAAGAAACACTTAATTTGTTGTGAGAATTAACATTGGTGAAATACAATTTTTTTTTACTTTAATTTTTAGTGAAAACTGCGTTGAATTAAAAATTAACATAGCCTCATCTAAAATTAGATTGAGAAGATTATGAAGTATTTATGCATTATGGTCATAATGCTGAAAAAAACCTCTTGTAACATTGAAAGCCGCGCCACATTCGTCAAGCATAGCCTCCGAGTTTGAAGAGGTTTTCGTCGTGTCCCTCGCCTCACAAATATACTTTTGGCTCCAAGGACAATCGGCGTCCAAAAGCAGTGCGCTCGTTTTTGTCAACTCCAAGTAAATGCAATGCTGGCTGTTTGCAAAATTGTTGGGCTCGCCACTTTTCCATTTGGCTTCTTGGTCGCGAACCAGTTGGTTTACGGCGCACCATCCAAATTTACATTCGCACTCAAGGTCAGAGCCAGAAGTCCAAAAAATTCCCTCAGCCTTGGTCGAATCTTTGCCAATTTTATCATGATAATGTAAAATGGTCTCTTTTTTTAGTCTTTACTTTTGGCGGCTGCAATTAAGTTGGCGTATTCATATTGGTACTCAATGCTGAGTAATTTCATTCCGACGGAGCAACACGCTTTTTGAGCCTCAATCCACTGATAAAATTAAAAAGTAGCTAATATATTGAATGCAATTGTAAAATGTAATACTGTTTTTTGCTCTGTGCTGAACAAGTACGTTCTTCCATTTATTGTGTACCAAAACCCGTAAGTTGAAGGGCCTGTCAAAATCCAACAAGTAAAATGAAAATATATCAGTGTGGCGTTGAAATTATAAATTTTACAATAATAAATTTAAGGTGTGCGTAATTTAACGTCATTTCAAAGCAGATTGCTTTTCTTATGAAACGTTGAGAAAATTAATTTTCATTCGTAGAATTTAATAAGTTTCAACTGATTACGATAATTACTGTCAAAAAGTAGTTTAGATAATTAAGGATCGGTTGTTAAATTTAATATAATTTTTTAAATTGAAGAAAAAATTATACTCGTCAGGTACTGCGTTATTCCATCAGGCAAGGTGGTGAAGTAGGATGGCTATTCGGAAATTTTATTGATTATGTATAAAATATTAGTTCATGTGTTGTTTAACTTCTTTAGCACACGTAAAATTGGTACACTGTGGTTTAAAGCATGGAGGGGCTGGCGTTGTTGGACCCTTCAATTGAAATGATCAAATAGCTATTAAATCAAAGTAAGATTGAATTGTAATTACTTGACACCCAAAAACATATAAATTTGAACAATTTTTGTCCGTGGTTGCAACGCTGCCTTTAGTTTTGTCAATGTTCAGATGTACGCAGTTTTCGGAATTGTTTGTGTTGTCCGGCTGTCCAGACTGCCAAATATTTGAAACGTTGCTGAAAGTGGAGTTTGAGAGACACCACTGGAAAGTGGCGTTTGCACTAATTCTTTGGCCGGATGTCCAGTAGTGCGCGTTGTATTTCCAAAGTGGGGCTTTTTGCGGTTTTTTAAATAAATGATTTTTTAAATGAATAATATACGTTTTGCCAAATTAATCAGACACTGTCGTTTTGTGTCATTTTCAATCATGATTGGCGTCATTCCAATACTGCAACAGCGATCAAAATTTTCTTGCCAGTTCACCTAAAGTTTTAAAGGAATCTCTGTACTGAAATTTAATGCTAATTTTTTGTATTGACAATATTGTTATTTAATGATAGCCAACTGCCTGCTTTTTTATCAGTCTTGTTTAAAGATTTTAATATTTAATCTTTGGGCTATTTGATGCGTCCGTCATGTCCAATATAAAGCATAAATTTATCATCATTACTAATGCTCTTTTGCAAACTTAAATTTTAATATATTATGAGTCTCATATATTGCCATGGGTGTTCCCAGAGGATGCTATCGCCCCAGTTTTGCAACTTCCACGTTTTTTAAAGTTATAAGCGGCTTTGCCCATCCATAAGTTATAAAATCTCATCATTGCAGGGGAAAGCCAATTGAAAATTGTTTTTTACTTACCACAGTATTTCCCCAAAGAAATAGCGAGCCGCATGATTCAACCCAATAACCATAGTTTTCCGCATCTAATTATATAATAAAAATGTTATTTAATTATGAATCAAAAGGAACCAAACACGTGTTCACCAATTAACCTTCCACTCTGATATAGAGAGACCTAATCAATTTAATTTGATTGAGTTATGAAGTTAGATCAAATAATGAGTTTTGAATTTTCTACATTTTTCTTGCAGACACTGCTACACTCGTACACAACCTTCCAAAAAGTAAGAAATCTATTTATTTAAATATTTTTCTGAAAGATACAAATACCTCAGGATTTGTGGGAATTGTGGCTGTCGTAGTTGAGGAAACTATGGTTGTTGTAATCTCAGTTACTGTCGTTGAGATCGTTGTCGTCACTAATTCCGACAAAGGTGACGTCGCTCCGCTTGTAGAAGTTTGGCTCGCGTCATTATTGGGAGGCGAATTGCTTGATGGTATTTCTGTAAGAGCGGGTGTAGATTCAGAAGGCATTTGGGTCGTCTGCAAAGTTTCTGCCGGAGGATCTGTGGACACTTGTTCTGTCGCCTCCGCCAATGTAGACTCTCCTGGTTGAGTTGCTCCTTCCGAGGATGGCTCGGCGCTTTCACTCGAAATTTCATCGTTTGGTTTACCTTTTTTCATGGGGAAAATCCTTGATAAATTTTGGTTGGTATTATTCCACAAATTGTATTCACTCATTGATTCTGCGGTTGTTGTGTTTTTGGTCGCAAGTTGTTGCTAAATAAATTTATAGCTAGATTAAAATAGCATTAAAAGAAAATTTGCTCTTTTTAAACACGAGGAAATTTAATCTGTTCCAAACTGTTTTAATTTTCTGTAATGGCTGCGTTACTATTGCTCACGGTTAGTTAGATTGTTATTAATGGAAATGGCTATCTTTTTGCTTGATTTTATAAAAAAATAAATTAGAAATTTCAGTCAATGTGAAACAAGCCGTTAGACGAAAAGAAATAAACTCCATATTGTAAAAAATAAGATGTTTTGTTAGTTTAATGGGATTTATGTTATCATTTAATTAAATGTGACATTTTAATTAAATGAGATGGTTTATTTGTATCCCGCTGGTTTCTTGAACTCTAGAAAAACTAGAGTGTTTATAAAAATATTATGGCGTCATTATAATTTGCACTTATTTACTGAAGACTCGGTGTTTTTTGCATTTGATCCATTGTAGCAAGAAGATTTTCCACAGCATTTGACAATGTGCAATCGTTGCGTTCTTCTTTTCCCAAAGGTAGATGCTTAAGAGGGCAAAAAAAATCACAGTATAATCGTATAATAAATTTGAAACTGCGAACTTACCAATATGAATTTTTGAAGGATTGTTGCCGTTTTGCTTTGAACTTTTTTTTCGCTGTTTTGCTGCAGAACTGAAAACTATCTATCAAGATTATACTTTGACTCTCACTTGCACATTTATCACAATTGGGATTATACAACCAGGATGCAAAATATTAGCAAGACAAGTTTCAGTCTTGATAACATTTCAAATATGAAATGGCTGGGTGAACATACACATTAAATGTGAACGTGATACACACGATGTGCATAATATATACAGGGACGGGAATTGATTATTGTCTCTTCAGCGGAACTCCTCCATCCGGCCACGCAGACGTCATAAAAGTATGAATATTTTTTTCAATCATAGAATCACTTAATTGCAATTCTATATTTATTTTTAATCAAATTAATTTTTCACCGCTCTTAAAGGGAAAGGAAATTATTATGTGTTTTTTCCTTCTGGAAACAGCTAAAAGAAAACTCGCAAGGCGACAAATTTATCATCTTTTTCTCAGTCGATAGAGAAAAGTATCATAAAAAAAGAAAAAGGGTATTATCTAACCAATTGTTCTAGAAGATGAGAGCTAAAACGCTCTAAATAGCCCAAAATAAAAAAGACGGCCGCCGTGGTGAACTTGCACTGTTGACAAGATCACCATATGTATGCAAATCTGCTTCCCCAAAAGCTGCTTGCAGAGGAAGGGACAATTGATTTGAGGGCAGTCTTGAATGAACTATTTTTTTACCATTATTCAGATAAGTGATAAATTGTGCAAGTTTTTTCAACTTGGATTGCCGAGGAAGAATTATCTTTATATGTTAAAATTTCAGGGAAAATTGGAAAGCCTGATTTTAAAAATAAGGTCTTGCAGCTGAGGCTAATTTTTGTTTTTAAATACTTCCTTACATTGATATACGTTCACTTCATTGTATATCACAACTTTTAAATTTTTAAGACACTTAATTGTGCACTGAACTTTTGATAGTGGCACAGTTTCCTATCAATATTAAAAGTTGGATTCTTTGTGAAAATCATGAATTTAATTTTTGTCAATTAACCGCTATATCTTCATTAAATTTGTATTGTTCTGGCGCATTTAAGAACTTAAATCCAACGCGCTGACCTAACGGAGACAATATCAAAAAACATTAAGAACATTAAACAACCAAAAAATTAAAACATTATTTCTATTTTATTTAAAAAAAAAATTAAATGTGCTTTATTTAAAATTTTATAAATTTGAAAAAAAAATCATTTATTTAAATTATTATTATTATTGGAACCCGGCATCGGTGATTTTTCCTGTCATTCCCTCTGATATGAGAAATATTCTTTGATCCTCAATATTTTATACGAAATTTTTTGATCTGGAACTCTTGCAGTATAAATTTAGTTTTACATTATTTTAAACTCGAATAGTAACAATAAAAGCATTACTCACCAATAGTAATACTATTACATACTCAATGACTTGTAGAAATTTATGATACAAAATTAAAATAATTATTATAATCATGATGCAGTGTATTCAGTTTCCTTATTGTTAATCTTTACTAATACTAATGCTAACGCTGCAGTCTTATTTTTATGAAACTCAAATGTGGCGGTCAGCATCATTATCAGAAACTATTCCTTATTGTAAGGGCCAGTAGCATAGCATTCCGAAATCAGAATTCAGAGAAATCTGTAATCTGCTGTTTGCTCTTTATTACTCACAATTAAATATAAATTTATGTATTTTTTAAAAATATGCTTTTGAAATGCTCAATTTTTTTTAATTTGATATAAAAATATTATTAAATAATCATCAATTCAAATTTCTGTAAATGAGATGATAACTAAAACAACACAATATCAAGCTGAATTTTTAATTTAATCAATTTCAATTTATTTATCTAAAGCCTTTTTATTTTTATGCGCCTTATGGAAACCAATTATTACGTTCAAGGTCTGCACAGCGCGTAACAATTGCTTGACAGTTGTTCCTGAGAAAAGTGCGTGTTTTGAGGCTGCAGATCAGCGCCAATTCGAACAGACAGTAAAAACCATTCGGAAGTATTTCTATCAGGGTATGCATCAATGATCGAGCCACTCATAGCAGTGAACGGCAGGCTTGATGTGCACCACCCAAATTTCCCAGAGCCCAACCTACTCGCGGCCAACCAAGAGTGCTCAGCGCGACCAGCTGAACCTGGGTTTATAATAAATTTAAAATAAAACCAAAAGTTTGGCTGATCTAGATATTACTCATGGTAGAGCTGACAAGGCAGTTGACATTTGTGCTGTCTTCAAAATAGGCCAATTTTAGGCCGTATGTGCAGCAGAAAGATGATGCTGACTGATATGGTTGCTGTCATGGAATTAGTGAATTAGTTTATTTTCAATTTTGAAATCATTTTTCCATGCCATGATACTTTGATGTAAATATTTTATACCACAAGCAGTAAATATCTCTCCGTTTGGAATTGCTAAATATAAAATTTTTGAAAAATTTTATTACACTATAATATAATTTTCTGACGTCTGTTGTTGTCATAGTCAGCTCGCAATACGGGCTAAAATTTGTTTGGCGATCATTTGAAAAATTTGATTTAAATAATAATGATTACGTCCATCACACAGTTGAAATCTGTGAGGCATTTATGCACCAAACTTGGTAGAGGCACAGATTCCTGTTTTTGGAATAAAAATTTGAATTTTTTCCATCTTGTCATAATAATGCAAGTCTTGCCGCAGACGCGTTAACTTCGACTGTATTTATGATGTTTGCTACCAGATCTGGCACTTTTTCCTGCCCACATTGGTACACAAGAGAAGCGGTATCGCACTCATCCATTCCCTCTTTATTGTCAAAACAAATTAATAAGTAATCTTATTAAATTACTATGTAAACTTTAAACTATTATAAACAACATTTTAAACAATTTTACAAGCCAAATCTTAAAAACGGTTCAAAAACTGCTTGCAAATGATATTAAATTTATTGATCACAGCTGGTCTTACTAGCAAGTACGTCAATCATAAATTTACAGTTTTAAAATTCAATATTTAATTTGATTGAGAAAAATAATGAAAACTGAATATATCACAATTACATAAAATGTGTCGATTTTAAATTTAAACATCTATGCTCACTCTTTGATCCACAGATTGAAACTGCGGCCATGTTTTCTTGCAAAATTGTCGAGCTAGCAGCAAAACTTTCAGCCATCTCCAAAATCTTTTCGTTAACGAGCTTCCCGTTAAGCATCTGTTGACCCAGTTTAAAAAACTACTTCTAATGAAAATAAAAAGTGTGAATACAAATCCTCCATTCTCTCCCATGCATTTCAAGAAACACTTAATTTGTTGTGAGAATTAATACCATTTTTGAAATATTATTTTTTTTACTTTAATTTTTAGTGAAAACTGCGTTGAATTAAAAATTAACATAGCCTCATCTAAAATTAGATTAAGAAGATTATGTCATTTTAAGTACTTGGCTATTTGGACATAATACGGAAAAATACCTCTTGAAACATTGAAAGCCGCGCCACATTCATCGACCATAGCCTCAGAGTTGGATGAGGTTTTTGTCGTGTCCCTCGCCTCACAAATATAATTTTCGCTCCAAGCACAGCCGGCGTCCCACAGCGGCGCACCCGTTTTACTCAACGTAATATAAATGCAATTTTCGTTATTATTTGCATTGTTGGGCTCGCCAGCTTGCCATTTGGCTTCTTGGTTGCGAACCAGCTGGTTTACGGCGCACCATCCAAAATTACCTTCGCAGCCCTCATCTGTTCCCGACGTCCAAAAGATACCCTGAGCCTGGGTCAAATCTGCCAAATTTTATCATGATAAAATGTAAAATGGTCTTTCTTTAGTTTTTACTTTTGGCGGCTGCAATTAAGTTGGCGTATTCATATTGGTATTCAATGCTGAGTAGTTTCATTCCAATGGAGCAACACGCTTTTTGAGCATCCAGCCACTATCAAATTATAAAGTAGCTTCTGGCTTGTGGTTAAAATATTAAATCTATACTGATTTTTTCTCTCTGCTGAACAAGTACGTTCTTCCATTGGTTGTGTACCAAAATCCATAATTTGAAGGGCCTGTGAAAATCCAACGAGACTTAGGTAAAATATATTACAGTGACGGTTATCGTTTAATTAAAGATTTAAAAAATTACTATTTAAAAAAAAAAATTATTAAAAAAATACTAAAAACAAATACAAAAATAGCTCGCGTAATTTTATATTATTTGAAAAATGAAACAAGGAGCTTTGAGCTTTCATATTAAATACACAAATAAAATTCAAAAAGAAAGTATATATACTCGTCAGGTGCTGCGTTACTCCATCAGGCAAGGTGGTGAAGTAAGATGGCTATTCGGAAATTTTATTAATTATGTATCAAATATTAGTTCATGTGTTTTTTAACTTCTTTAGCGCAAACAAAATTGGTACATTGTGGTTTAAAGCACGGAGGGGCTGGCGTTGTTGGACCCTTCAATTGAAATGATCCAAATAGTCATTAAATCAAAGTAAGATTGAATTGTAATTACTTGACACCCAAAAACATATAAATTTGAACAATTTTTGTCCGTGGTTGCAACGCTGCCTTTAGTTTTGTCAATGTTCAGATGTACGCAGTTTTCGGAATTGTTTGTGTTGTCCGGCTGTCCGGACTGCCAAATATTTGAAACGTTGCTGAAAGTGGAGTTCGAGAGACACCACTGGAAAGTGGCGTTTGCCATAATTCTTCGGCCGGACGTCCAGTAGTGCGCGTTGTATTTCCAAAGTGGGGCTGTTAATTTTTTTAATTTAATGGAAAATGGAACTTACTGGAATGATATTTTACGTTTTGCCAAGTTAATCAGACACTGTCGTTTTGCATCGTTTTCAATTATGATTGGCGTCATTCCTATACTGCAACAGCGATCAACATTTTCTTGCCAGTTTAACTAAATAATTTAAAAAGAAACATTTTATATTAATGTAATTTAGTGCTTAAATTATGTTTCCTTTAGTAAATTTAAATAAAATAATTAGATTTATTAGGTCTTACTTAATGATTTATAATTTTTTGATTCACTTGTCACGAATAGTCGCAAATAGCATTTTTAATAATATAAATTAATTCTGACTCTTGCTCTTTTAGTAAATTTAAATTCCGCTATTTATGAAATTCAAACTTGGAAACGCTTGAAATCTGCAGGTTAAATGGTGATTTACAGAAAATATTTTTCTGTTTTTCTTTTACTTTAAAATATGATGAAGGAAAATGTTATAGCCCGTGCTCTTGATTTTTTCTTGAAGCATTTGGTAATTTGAATTAATAATAGGCTTTTCCTCGACACATTTTTTTGAGTTATTTATTGTTTAAGTAAAAATTCAATATAAACAATTCTCAAAACACATCATGGGAAAGCTGATTTTAAATTCAAATCACCATGAATCAGCCCTCGATTTGTGAAATTCTACCACAAAAATTAAAACTTGCTTAATTTAATTATAAATTAAATTCATATAGTCAGAATTCAATTAATATTTTTTTGACATTCACCATTCATTTCAATGCCAAATTAAATACATAGGCTACGTTATTTCATAAGCCTCTTGATACATCAATTATTATTAATTCTTCTCGGTCAATACTAAAAAAAATTAAATAGGAAAAAAAAGAGAAGAAAAGGTTCACAACTAGCAGATGTTTGCTAAAACACCCGATATCAACAGAGACTTGAATTGGAGAATAAATAAATAAATTTAAAGTACGTGGGAGAATGAACTGGAAATTGATTTCTACTTACCACAACATTTCCCCAAAGATATAGCGTGCCGCATGATACAACCCAATAGCCATAGATTTCAGCATCTAATTAAGTAAATCTAAATCTTAGCTGATCTGGTGGTAAAAACTAATTTTCATATTTTAACTGATTAATCGTCCACTCAGATATAAAGAGGCCTAATTAAGTTGATTAATTTGTGCTATTAATATTGATCAGATAAAATTTTTAAATTTTATTTACATTTTTCTTGCAAACACTGTTACACTCGTACAAAACCTCTCAAAAAATTTTGATAATTATATAAGTGTCTAAATATTTTTTCTGAAAGATAAAAATACCTCATAAGGATTTGTAGTAGTTGTGGGAACTGTGGTTGTCGTAGTTGTGGGAACTGTGGTTGTTGTAGTTGTTGTGGGAAATGTGGTTGTTGTGCTCTGAGTAATTGCCGTTGTTGTCGTCACTAATTCTGATAGTGATGATGTCTCTCCGCTTGTGGAAGATTGGCTTGCGTCATTATTTGGAGGCGAATTGCTCGACGGAGTTTCTGAAGAGGCAGTTGAGGATTCCAAAGGCATTGTTTGGGGAATCTGCGAAATTTCTGATGGAGGATCTGTGGACACGGGTTCCGTCGCCTCCGCCACCACTGATGAGGATGTCGTAGCACCTTCACTCATAGTTTCGGTGGGTGGTTCCGCTGTATTTCAAGGATCAGTAATTCCCAACAGCTTTGATCAGTATTATTTAACAAATTACATTCACTCATTAATGCTGTGGTTGCTTCATCGTCATTTTTTGTAAAACTTTTGGTTGCAAGCTGTGTGGTTAAATAAATGCATAATAACATAAAACAAGATTGCTTTGAAAATTTGCTCTCGCATATAGTGAGTCAAATTGCATTAAACAGCTTTATTGTCTCCATTAGCTGCGTTACTCTTACTCAATTGGTTATAGATTGAGATGAGATCAGATCAAATCTTTTTGCTTAACTTTGTTTATAATTAAAGAAATTGCAGAAGCCAATTTAAATTTGATAACCCCTCTGTCTGTCAAATAGGCCGCTAGCTATAATATAATTTCGCTGATAAAAGTACAAAAGTGTGGATGTCTGCGTTTTGAAATTTAATTGAATTAACAGATTATATTTATTCCCCCGCAAAAACTGAACAGTTGTTTATATTTTATTATCTTTATATTAAAAAAGCGGATTTTTTTATTCAAATTGATACTATCACGTGAATTTCATTTTGAGATCACCTCATTACGATCATTTATTTGCACTTACCGATGTCACAGTGTTTCTTGAATTTGTATTGGATCCATTGTAGCAAGAAAATCTTTCACAGCATTTAACAATAAGCGTCCGTTGCGTCCTACTTCGCCCAAGGTTTGATGCTTGGAATATAGGTTTGAAAAATCGTGTGCAATTTGAAAAGCAAACCCTTACCAATACGAATTATCAAAGGATTTTTGCCTTTTAGATTTAGAAAACCACCTCTTTTTTGCTGTGTTGCCGGAAAGTTGAAAACTAACTATAGGAAAGATTTGAAATGTTGACTCAAAACTTGTGCATAATATTTGAGAATTTTACAATAATGACACCAAACATTAACAATTTCAGTCTTGATGACATTTCAAATATCACGAAATGGCTTTTCAAAGGTGCACATTAAATTTGAACGTGAAAAACGTTGTCGAGATGCGAGCAGCCAGCATTTATTATCATTTCAGCGGAACTCATCCATCCGGCTTGTCGGTTTCAACATCATATCGCTCCATGACAAAATGGAGCATGAAAATAAAATTTGACAAATTTGATGCTGAGTTTGAAAAATTAGATTCAACATAGGATAAAGAAAATTTGCGCGCTGTCAGCTTAAGTTTCTGTTCTCTGCAAAATCTTTTCGTTGGTGGTCTTTCCATTAACCATGCATGGACTGAACTTGTTAAAAACTTAAATATGCAATTGCATATTTATATTTCTATACAATACGGAAAAATATTGAGAGTTCCATCAAAAAGCCTAAATTATTAACTTGCCGTGAAGTTTGAATGAAGGGTTAAGTTCGAACGCTTTTGGGATCGCCCTCATTATAAATAGCTTGGCTTTATGGATGTGGGCTGAAGGATATTTAAACAAAAATTGATGATCAAGCTTAATTTTATTGTAAATCGCATATTAATTTCCAGTGCCAAATCTAAATCAATGCAATTTTACATTCAAGGCCTGCAGAGCGCGTAGCAATTGCTCGACAGTTGTTCCTGAGCGAAGTGCGAGTTTTGAAGGTCTGCGCCGATATTTACTGATAATAGAAACCATTCGGAGAGGGCAGATCTATCAGGGTAGCCATCAGCGATCGAGCCACTCATTGCAGTGAACGGCAGGCTTGATGTACACCATCCAAATTTCCCTGAGCCCAACCTACTCGCGGCCAACCAAGAGTGCTCAGCGCGACCAGCTGAACCTGGAGCAGTTACTGATAAATTATTATTAAATTTTGGCTTTTCAAACATTACTCATGGTAGAGCTAACAAGGCAGTTGACATTTGTGCTATTTTCAAAGTAGGCTAATTTCAGGCCGTATTTGCAGCAGAAGGATGATGCTGACTGATACGTTTGCTATTTATATTAATTTTATTAAAAATTATCATCGTATTTTTTAATCTTTTTTTTCCATACCAAAATACGTTGATGCAAATATTTGATGCCACAAGCAAAGAAAATCTCTCCGTTTGGAATCGCTAAAAAATAAAATTTTGAAATTTATTGTTAAATGTTTATTTTTTTCTGACGTCTGTTGTTGTCATAATCATCTCGCAATAGTTTCTATAAAATTCAGAAACCAATTAACGGAAAATTTATTCAATCATTTTGCTTACGTCCATCACACATTCATAATCTGTGAGGCATTTGTGCACTACACTTGGCAAAGGCACATATTCCTGTGTACAAAACAATGTCATTCTATATTTCTGCAATTTGTACAAGCCTGACCGAAGACGAGTTTGCTTCGACGGTATTTATGATGTTTGCTACCAACTCCGGCGCTTTTTCTTTTCCGCACTGATACACAATTGAGGCCGTGTCGCACTCGTCCATTCCTCCTGTCAATGAAATGAGAATACATTTATTAAAACGTCACCAAATTCCCCATTAAGTATAAAAAGCCCATTACTATGTTTACTTTTCCTGATAAAAGTGATAAAATAATTAAGGTGAATAGGGTGAACCAATAACTAATCGGCCTCTATAAATAAATTTGTCTATATTTATAAAATTTTGAACTCGCTCTTTGATCCGCAACTCGAAACTGCGGCCATGTTTTCTTGCAGGCTTGTTGTGCTGATGGCCAAGCTCTCTGCCAACTCCAAAATCTTTTTGTCAATGAGTTTCCCATTAAGCATCTTGGAATCAATTTGAAAATTAATATTAAGTATAAATGTTTTTCATACAAATCCTCCATTCTCTCCCGCGCATTTTAAGAAACACTATTTATTATTTGTGAGTCATTTTTGTTTCAGAGAAATTATAAAACTGGTTACCTTAATTTTGAGTGAATACTGCGTTGAATTGAAAATTAGCTTAGTCTCATCTGAAATTAAAAAGGTAAAGTTGGAACGGCGCGACTTTGCATAGAGAAAAATATGCCTTTTGAAACATTGAAAGCCGCGCCACATTCGTCAAGTATAGCCTCCGAGTTGGAGGAGGTTTTCGTCGTGTCCCTCGCTTCACAAATATACTTTTGGCTCCGAGAACAACCGGAGTCAATCAGCAACGCGCTCGTTTGTGACAAATCCAAGTAAATGCAATTCTCGTTATTTCCATAATTGTTGGGCTCGCCAGTTTGCCATTTGGCCTCTTGGTCGCGAACCAGTTGGTTTACGGCGCACCATCCAAATTTACCTTCGCACCCCTCATCTGTTCCAGACGTCCAAAAGATACCCACAGCGTTGGTCAAATCTTTAAAATATTATGATGAAGTTTTATCGTCATTTTAATCTTTATTTACTTTTGGCGGCTGCAATCAAGCTGGCGTATTCGTATTCATATTCGATGCTGAGTAATTTCATTCCAATGGAACAACACTCTTTCTGAGCATCCAGCCACTAAAAATTAATTTAACCTTTCGTTAAACTAATAAAATTATATTATGAAAATTTAGTACTGATTTTTGCACTGTGCTGAACAAGTACGTTCTCCCATTTACTGTGTACCAATATCCATGATCTGATGGTTCTGGAAAAAGTTTTATTTTTTAGCTGCTTACAATTAGAATCTCGGATTGAGGGAAAAAAATTTTGAAATGAAAGGGTGTATTTAATTTATATTTTTATATTGATTTATATAAGAGAAATGTTTCTGTTTGCATTTTTTTATGTAATATTTTCTTCATATTTTTTTTACAAAGGAATAGATTTTCTTCTCTTAGAAAGAATGAGGTAATTTTCAATTTTGATACGTTTTAAAAATTCGGTATTCCATTAATTACGAAATCTCAACACAATAGATTCAGAGAGAGAGAGAGAGAGTGCTTTTGAAAAAAACCTTTTACAACCTACTATTTCCAAAGCTTTTTTAGCAAAATTTTAAATTAAACTGATTTTTCCATTCATTCACTACTACAAATATATTTTAATTCAGGCAACCTCTGCCGTCTCATTTGTGCTAACAATATAATAAGAAGGGCGCGCGTTAAGTAAAAAAATTCATCGCAATTGTGTCATGGTCCACCCATTATTTTTATTTTCATCTAGATTTTGTAATATTTATATAATACAAAAAAATAATAATTAGTTCAAGTTTCTTTACTTGTAAGGAGCATCGTCTTTCCATCAGGCAGGGTGTAGAAGTATGAGGGCTAAAACAATCAAATCGCTTTGATGTTACATAATTACTTCCCTAATTGATTTACATTCTTTTCACAAACGAAATTAACACACTGCGGCTTGAAGCACGGAGGTGCAGGTGTTGTTGATCCCTTTAATATTAATAAGGCGTCTAAATTATTTGTTTAATACACTCAAGATCGATTACTTGGCATCCAAAGACGTATAAATTTGAACAATTTTTGTCCGTGGTTGCAACGCTGCCATTAGTTTTGTCAATGTTCAAATGTACGCAGTTCTCAGTGTTGTTCGTGTTGTCAGGCTGTCCGGACTGCCAAATATTTGAAACGTTGCTGAAAGTGGAGTTCGAGAGACACCACTGGAAAGTGGCGTTTGCACTAATTCTTCGGCCGGACGTCCAGTAGTGCGCGTTGTATTTCCAAAGTGGGGCTGTTAATAATTTAATGGAAAATAGAACTGGTAAGATATTTTACGTTTTGCCAAGTTAATCAGACACTGTCGTTTTGTGTCATTTTCAATCATGATTGGCGTCATTCCAATACTGCAACAGCGATCAACATTTTCTTGCCAGTTCACCTAAATAATTTATAATGCAAACTCAGAAATCTTAAAATGCTAGTTTATTTTATCGTTCTAAAGAAATAGGCTACGTAACAAGATAATTTATATTTATAACCTGACTTTATTTATTTATTAATATTTTTCTTCTAATCCTAATGGGAATGGAACCGGTGGTAGCCGTCAGGCGTGCTGTGCTTAATCTTGAGGGCCAATAATATGGTTTCCTTGGACACACTGGGACAGGGTGAAAGGAGTATAGGATGTTGGGAATTCCAAGGATGAGGGAGGTGAGCGGCCATCATGGCCTACCATAAATTAATCACCCCGCAACTGTTTTTTGTAAATTAAATTTTCAGTATTTATGAGTCTCATTAATTCCCGTGGGTCTTCCCATATGAAGCGATAAATCACTCGCTTTTATAACATCCAATTCTCATAACGCATAAAATAGTATAAAAATCATGTCGCTCTCAGATGTGCCCAGCAACAACAGCCATACACAATTTTGAAATTTCACAATTGCAAGGGAAAGCCAAATGAAAATTGGTTTTTATTTTTTACTTACCACTACACTTCCCCAAAGAAATAGCGAGCCGCACGATTCAACCCAGTAGCCATAATCATCAGCATCTTTTAATTTAACAGTTATCAGTAAAATCATTGACAATTTTGAGTGAAATTAATGCATATAAGACATATTTTTGTATACCAATTAAGCTTCCCTGACTCAGAAAAAAAGACTCCTTCAATTTTTTTTATGTTATTTTAACAAATTTTAAATATATAATCGTGCTTTTTTTACATTTTTCTTGCAAACGTCGCTACACCCTTGCAAAACCTTCATTAAGATTTATTGATATAGGAAGTGTAAAAATAATACAATTATAAAAATACTGTGTAAGGTGGATCAGATGTTGTTACAGTAGTGGTATCTATTGTCGTTGAAGTAGGAAACGATTCTGAATATTGGGGAGTTTGGGAAATCTCCAAGTTTCCTGATACTAAAGTGGAATCTACTTTTTGCGAAACCTCTTCCACTTTTGGTTCATCTGCACCTTGCACAGTTGTTTCAGTAATTCTCATGCTGATTTCGAAGTACTTATCGGCTTTTTATTGTATGCAGAAATCCGTGTTTTAAATTTAAATATTAATTTGTTATAATGCTAAGTTTACTTTTTATCTCCAAAGCAGCTACTTTGTCTAGTGACCAGGAAGTATTTTCAGTTGAAAAATGAAACTAAAATAAAATATCAATTAATTAAGCAATTATTAATTTATGTTCCTCTCATTGAAATTTCAAATCAAAATTAAGTGCAATTAACAATGTGGCTTTTTTGATTGCGCGGCTAAGTGAGTTGATTAAAATTGAAACTAATGTGTATAATTCTCTCTTTTTTTAGCTGTCTTAAGAATGCTCGTATACTGGTTTTATTCTCAAGGGATTTTATAGGGATTTAATATTTTATGAAATCACTATTTTGCACTTACTTTTTCAGCTGTAATTTTTGTATTTTCGTGCAATCCTTTTACACAAGATGAACCACCACAACACTTGATGATGAGCATCCGATTGCGAGTGTTTAATGCTTGAATTTTTATATTAATGTATTTTATTCTAAACAACAACAAAACACGTTATACCCTTTGATTTCTTGTTTGCAATATTGCTCCTTTTTGGCTTTTTAATAGTGGCTGATTTTTGAAATATTGCTGAACAGCTGATAATGATCTAACAATTAAAACGATTAATTTTTATATCTCTAGTAAAAATATGAACATATTTTTAATACCAGAAGAAATAGCATCAGTAGAAGCACAAGCCTTTGTAGTTTTGATTTCATATTTTCAACTTACAAATTAGAGCATTTGTACCGTGTACATCAGAGTACAAAATCTGAAATGAAATAATTGTCATGTTCTGCTGCGCTGTTCATCTTATTTCCGGTAGTCTGGTAGAATTCCTGTGGCTAATTTGAGTTGAAATTGATTGTCATACGTCATGCATTTAGCACACCTCTGCAGGATTGAAATCCTCTTTGCTCATTATATAACATTTGTTCAATTTTCGTGTGAAATTCAGTAATATTAATAATTCATTTGTGATTATTTTGTTATTTGCACATGCGGTTTATGAACCACAACTTGAAACTTGCGACATTGCTTTCTTTTTTTTTGGGTCAGGCCAAGACAAAGTGTCTTGTCGGCCTGTGCCCTTATTGAGCTTGCGGAAGGCAAGCTCCAATATTATATTATTTGGGTATTTATTTATTATTATTTTTTTTTTAATTTTATCTTTATTGTCATCAGGATAAGATAAAATGTTTAAATTTTATTTACATTTTTCTTGCAAACACTGCTACACTCGTACAAAACCTCTCAAAAAAATTGATAATTAAATAGGTATTTAAATATTTTTTTCTGAAAGATTAAAATACCTCATAAGGATCTGTAGTAGTTGTGTGGGAACTGTGGTTGTTGTGCCCTGAGTAATTGCCGTTGTTGTCGTCACTATTTCTGACAGTGATGATGTCTCTCCGCTTGTGGAAGATTGGCTTGCGTCAATATTTGGAGGCGAATTGCTCAACGGAGTTTCTGAAGAGGCAGTTGACGATCCCAAAGGCATTGTTTGGGGAATCTGCGAAATTTCTGATGGAGGATCTGTGGTCACGGGTTCCGTCGCCTCCGCCACCGTTGAGGATGTCGTAGCACCTTCACTCATAGTTTCAGTGGGTGGTTCGGTGGTTCCGCTGTATTTCAAGGATCAGTAATTCCCAACAGTTTTGACCAGTATTATTTAACAAATTACATTCGCTCATTAATGCTGTGGTTGCTTCATCGTCATTTTTTGTAAAACTTTTGGTTGCAAGCTATGTGGTTAAATAAATGAAGAATAACATAAAACTAGATTGCATTGAAAATTTGCTCTCGCATATATATTGATTCAAATTGAATTGCATTAAACAGCTTTATTGTCTCCATTGCCTGCGTTACTCTTACTCAATTGGTTATAGATTGAGGGGAACTTTGTGTATAATTGACTTTGCCGATTGAAGTTTGATAAAAGATTCTGATTGATTGCAAATTTTGGGTTTGAATTCCATCTTTCATTCCTTAAGTTTAACTGTCCGCGTGGAGCCAAACATCCTAGAGCGCGCGACACTACTAATTGGCCAATCCCATATCAATGCCTCCCACCAATAAATAACGCTTATTTCGTTTTTGTGATTGTTGCACTTCAAATTCAAATATTGTTCTTGTTCAAATCTGTTCTTCCAAACTCGCGAATTCGTTTCTAGCTCTCATAGCTGTATAATTTTAAAAGCTCTTCTGAAAGAGTCCCAGAGGGTCCCTCGGTCGCAGGTCTGCACTAGGATTATAATTATGGATGACGTCCTCATTCCCGTCTACTTCACTGATCGAGCCGAGTCCGCCTTGGACAACTGCGATCGTGTTAATCAACACTTCGGGACGGCGGCCATCAAGACTCATATAAATGTGGCAAGCCCAGTACCTGACTCTCGCCCTGAACAGGCAGACCTTGAGTTTCAAAGAGCGTAAGAAGATTTATATCAAGAAATCATTTCGATAAATCATGAATTAAGTCTAAAGATTACATACTTTATTTCCTCAGGACGGAACACAATCGCTGCCAACCTTTACCATCTTCGGCGTAGAGCCCGAGCAACGCCTGGCACAGTTCTGAGGAGAGTCTCGTTTGAGTCACACGATGGACCCTTTAACTACGAGTACCTAACTGCCAGGCAAAGGGACAACATCGTCCGCAATCCATCAGATGGCCATCTGTATGCTCTATTCATTTTAGCTGCTACCAACAACCTGACCTACGACGGGGAATTAAGTAAATTGTTATTTATCGCTGGTCTCTGTTTATTATAAGCATAATACATCTCAGGTGCCGAGTCCCTTGCTGAACTGATCAGATCTGAGCAGGCGAGACGAGGACCGGGACCGGCCTGAAGGAGCTCTACCCAACCTTCCCTTGATCTAGCTCTAGTTCTCTACATAGATCTTTTACTCGTTTCGTCAATAGACACGTTTCTATAGTTTTCAATAACCAACCAACGCTTTTTATTTGACTTCTCTTCTATGAAAAGACGAAATAGACCTCATATAAATTTAATTTCTTAGTGAGAAAAATGTGTGTTTTTTAGCTATTTAATCATCCTTTTGCAGCTTTTCTTCATCAGTGGCCATTCATAAAAATTGGAATAAATAATATTGTCATGGAAATGAAGAACTCGGGCTTGTCCTCGTATTCAAAAACAAAACGGCTCTACCAGTTTCGGTCACGGTCTGCGACCCTATTTCATGAGCAAGAAGAAAAAAATTAGCAAATTTGAAAAACACCGCTTCTAAACCCCTAGAGAATTTTAGTATTCTGGCGCGTAGCACACGCCTTAATTTTTTTTTTTATTGAAAGATATTTATTTATTTTTTCATTACAAGTCCAGCCAATTTCCGAAGAAATTATCGGCTGGTGCTTATCAGACTAATTGCTTCAAGTTAGAAGCTTTTAGTGCTTACAAAGAAATTCTACAGTGCTCTATATTATTTTCAATTTGTTCATACAATTTGTTCAATTTTGTTTTAACATCCATTTTTTTAATTTGTATTTCACATCATTTTTGTTCTGCATGTTTTTTAACTCTGGTGGCAACAGATTCCACAAACGTGGTAATATACATTCCGACGTTCTATTGAAATATTTACTATCTTTTATAGGCTCAATTACTGGTCCTAATTGCAATGCTCTCGTGCTATAAGGGTGGATTCTAGGTACTCCATGGTTCTCATCAAAGTACTTCAAGCATAATAAATTTAATTCAAATATTTTATCTACAGACAGCACATTCCAGAACTCAAACTGATTTTCAATTGTCTCTTTATGCTTTCGTGTACACATTTTATATAAGACTCTCTCTTGCAAATTTTTTAATGAGGATAAGTTGGCTGATCCCCATGCGGTTACACCATAATTCAAGTATGAATGAGCTAACGAAAAATACATAATACGTCTTACATGATAAGGCATATTCGCTTTCAAATAATTAAACTCGCAAATAATTTTTCTTAATTTTTTTGCAATATGTTGTGTATGTGTTTTCCAGTCAAAATTTTGATCTACGTACAAGCCAAGATATTTTGTTACTTCCACTTGTTTCAATAAGGCGCAAATGCATCCGATACAAAAATTATGTAGACATGTAGTTTCATGGCACACAATTTTAAGACTTAAGTCTTTTCTCATAACTGGCTTGCAAAAATGCATACATACAGTTTTTCTTGTGTTTATTAGGAATCCATTGTCATGGCACCATTCAACTAATATATCAAATTCAGTCTGGATTATTTTTTGACAAACATTAAATTTCTCATGTGAAAATAATATAACAATATCATCTGCGAATATAAATATTGTGCAGTCTTTTAAAAGTGAGAATAGATCATTCATGAATAAAATAAATAAGATAGGGCCAAGTATGGAGCCCTGAGGCACTCCACAATTAGCGCTAAATTCTTCACTATATTCATCGCAGAGTTTTACCGCAAATTTTCTATTATTCAAGTAGCTTTTTATTAATTCCAACACTGGTCCTCTTATGCCAATTTTTTCAAGTTTTTTTAACAGTTTTTCATAATTTAAAACGTCAAAGGCTTTTCTCATGTCAATAAAAATTGCAGCTACGTGTTTATTATCTTTGAGTGCAAGATTAACAAAATCAGAGAAATTGCTAAAAAGTTCATTGACACATTTTCCTCTCTGGTATGCAAATTGACGCTTATCAATTATATTAAATTCTTTCAAATATTGCATAAGGTAAAATTCAATATACTTTTCGAATATTTTGTCAAAAACAGGAAGAATGGAAATAGGTCTGTAGTTTTCAAACTTGTCGTGGGCAGAGTCTTTGTAAATTGGGCGAATTATTGCTTTTTTTAAACATTGCGGAAAATCAGATTTTTTTATCGATTCATTGATAACTGAGCAGATTAGATGCACAAGTGCACTTCCTCCACTCAGAACATCACGGACGGAGATTTTATCAACACCGGGGCCTTTGTTTTTATTTAAGTGTTCAATTATGTGTGTGATGTGTACAGGAGAAGCGAGAGGCAGCCGCATACTTTGCAGCGCTGATTCTCGCTGCTCGTTTTCTCGAAGTGCTTTAAAATTGCATGTGTGCGAGTTGTTAACGGGTGCGTTTTCAAAATATTTTCCAAATCCACTTAGTATTTCGGGCAATTGCATTCTACGCGACATGTATCGAATTATCATCTCATCCAGTGAATTTACTGTTCTACCCAGAAGCAAATTTAAATTATTCCACGTCCGTTTTACATCTCCTTGGCAGGATTTAAATAATTTGAAATTAAAATTTTGTTCGGCGTGTTTCAATTTTTGATTTAGCTTATTACGGAATACAGTGTATGCTTTTCTGTACAGTTTGTTTGATTTGTTACTTTTAGATTTACGAAATAGTTTATCGCGTTCTTTTATGAGCAGCTTTAATTCAGACGTCAACCAATCCTTTTCCACTCTTTTGTTTATTGTGTACGTTACTTCGTGTTTATTAGTGTTTTTGACATTTTCAATATACCTTGCACAGTTCTCGAAAGTTTCACTAGTGTTGTCATGCAAACAGCGAGACCAGTCGTAAGTGTGTAAGTCTTGGTTGACAGCCTTAAAATCTATTTGCTGCCGCGTAATTTTGTCTATTTGTTGTGAATGAGTGTATAATAGTGTAGTGACGGCGTAGTGATCGGCAATTTTGTACGAAATCACAGCAGAGATTTGTTCAAAACAATTTATTTTAGCAAATATGTGGTCAATTAGTGTTGATGAAAAATTATTACCAGAAAACTCCTCGCGAGTGGGCAAGGTAATTAATTTTGCAAATCCTAATTCTGCCATGATATTTTCATATTTCTCAACTATTGCATCATTAGTGTTTAGCAAGTTAATATTTACATCACCACAAAAGATAAACTCATTTAACTTATTGTGCTTTTTTAAAAATTTCTGAATCTCTGTTAAAAATAATGTTTTGTTATCGGAAGGCTTTCTGTATAATGCGAGCAGTGTGATTTGTGAATTTATTTTGAGCATGAGACTTTCTGCTGATTTTAATTCGGATTGAAGGACTTGACAGGAAAAGGAGCTCCTGACATAAATCAGGAGGCCACCTCCTCGACCGATTTCTCTAGTTTTTTCGTGCATGTTAAAACCGTTTAATTTGAATTTGTGTATATCTTGCTTTTTGCAATTTATTTCGGACAAAATTAACACGTCAATGTACGGTAGCTCATCAGCAAGGGTTGTTTGTAATGAACGAAAGTTTGCAAAAATTGATCTTATGTTAATATGTACGATGTTGTAATTAATATGATAATTTTTTTGTATGTATAAATTTTTTGACTCAAACAAAAACTCAGATATATTTCGGCAATTCAGGCATTTTGAACTAACCATTTTTAAAATTAAAATTAAAAACTATTTTTGTCCACCTGAGCGTTTAGATGTGGGTTGTCGCGACGTTCACCCCCATCCTGGTGCGAATGTCGTCCTCGCAGCGGATTCGGACAAGCGCACCAAGCTGTTCACTGTGCCGGGCGAAAATTTTTCCGTCCCGCACCCACACAAAACGGAAACCTTTTTGAGCAGCGGCAGTGCGAGTCAGGAACAAGAGTCTTTTGTTGTAGGGCGTCAGCTGCTCGTAGATGCGGACAGGTGGAGGGCCTCGGCGACGAGGGCGTTCGGCAGCAACGGCGGCAGCGGTGGTGGGCGCCTCCTCGCTGACGTCATCTGCCTGCCGCGGCTGCTGCAGTCTTCGCCTCCCCGCCAGCCAAGCCATCTTGACACTGGCGGCCTTGACCTTCACAACAATCGGCGGTGCTCGAGGTGATTCACCCGCTACCCGGGGAGGACGGCCGGGCAGGCGGTATGCGTCCACAACCGTGTCAGACACGCGTGGCGCTCCGACTTGATCTGCAAGGCTTTGCACGACCTCGAGCACATTCTCTTTCTCCTTCATCGGAACATTGTGGAATTCCATATTAAGCACCAGATTGGACTGCTCCACTTGGTTCAAACGCGCGGAGAGCTGATTCAACGCGGCGTCCTTTTCCCTGACCTTCTCTTGGACGCCTTCGAGGGCCTTCTTCAGGTCGACGATGAGGGCCTTTTGCTCGGCGGACTGTTTCAGCAACTCCTCGTACTTGCCTTCGAAGAAGTTGAGCGACTTTTCCATCTCGACGAATTTTTGCATCATGGTCTCAAAACGCGCGGTCAGGTTAGTTTCCATTGATGTAATTTGGTCCATCAGGGTAGTAGTGTCGGGGCCTTCGGAGCCTTGAGAGCTGGACTCCTGTCTGCAATTGCTGCAGGTCCACATCTGCGGGTTGTTCCGCGATGACTTGCTCGCGCAACCCGGGTGGGCCACAGCCGTCGCGCAGACCTTGCACAGGACAGGGTCCTTGGCCACATTTTTCTTGCAATGATTACACTGATTATTCATTTCGGTGCACTGAAAACAAATTCCTCTAGCGTACGTTTAAATCTTAGCTAAGCGCCGGGCTAGATCGAGCAGAGCTGCGGAGCGATTCGAAAAAGCGTCTGCTCGCCCCTAGCGCACTAGCCAGACTGAATTAAATTCGTTAAATTCATAAAGGTTATGCCTGCGCGTGTCTAATGCGCGCCTATTCATATATTTTGGAGGTGTCCTTACCCGCCTCTGGTGGTGGCGTCGTGGCCGTGTCTGATCAGTCACATCACCGTTTGTTTTGATTTTCTCTGTCTGTGGCAAAAGTGCATCGAACAGCAACAGCAGGCGTTGTTTGGGAACCCTATTATCTAGGTTGGTTGTGCGTGAATATGATTCTCACAGCTACTCTCTGCAGGAATCTTCAGAATAATTTTTGCAGGTACTGTGATACGTGATGCAGTTTTTATCATGAATTCATCAATCATCGTTTCGCAGGGTCGCGGCAAATCTGCATCTAAACACGTGTTGAAGTTTGAAGTGTTTCTTGGAACATTAATTTGGTATAAATGGCTTTTATATAATTTAACCCGAGCCGCCCGAGCGTTATATCTTCTCATAACATGGACGGGTTTCAAAGGAAAAAACTCAACATCAGACCTTACAAAGCTCGTGAGTCTTTCTGTTTTTTCAGTTATGATACTGTACTTTATAATTTATGTATTTACAAAAATCCAGCTCCTGCCCATTGCAGATTGCAGTCGAGACGGAGGTGGCAGCGCAGTTTTAGCAAACACTGGCTTTGGTAGGTTATTGAGAGACACGCTGGATCTGAATTTTGATTAAGCCAATTCTGCAACGAGTTGCGACTCAGGACAAGGTGAGAGCACTCCTAAGAGGGGTGTACCTCCACCCCTTGATGTTGCCAGGACGCCAAACAACCAGCCGGTGGTCTTGGATGATGAATTCAGTCCAATCTAGCTCTTTCCCTATTCACAAACGCAATCGGCACCGATTGTCCTGTGGGACTACAATGCCGTTCAGAAATCCAATAGGATTAGTAAGGGATAGTCAGAGAGTGTAGCAAATTTTTTTAAATTATTAATTTAATCTTACAGTCCGAAGATCGAGACAGAGCTGTGGAAAATTTTTCCTTCGCCACCTGATATGAAACCTTCGAAGAGAAGGACACATTCGATGAATGCCCTCCTCCAAAGAAACCTAGTCAAGAGGGCCTCAGCGTTCTCCAGCAACACGTTAAAGATTTGCAAGAACTAGCTGAGTTCTAGCGGTAAGAGTAGGTTTATAATGAATGAAATTTATTTTTATCTTCAGTCAGTTAATTTTTATGATAGATACATACACTCTACTAAATAATTTCGATAATTTTCATTTTTCCCCTAGATGAAGAAAATGAGCGTGAGCAAGATGCTTTCAAGATGCTTTGAAGGAAACCGAAGAAGAAATGCTCAACAGTTCAATTCATCAGTCTTTGCACATATCAGACAAATTTGATCGCAGCATGGCGTCCCCAGATCCCTGTGACTCAGCTGGGGATGATGAAAACTTCCAATTAGCACAAGGGCCTTCCACCAAAGAGCCTCCTTTCCCGCGCCCTCCAAAGCAGAAGTTGTACCCCGTGAGCCGAAGGAGAGGTGCAAATGCAAATCAGTTCTCAGGAAAGCTCCTTATTGACGACTCGCTTGCCGAGTGTCTCATTGCATGCACGGAAAAAGTGGAGTCTGAGGTGAGACTCAGCCAGCAGTTGCAAAATATAGCTGCTCCTCCCCCACCACCACCTCCCCCTGTCAACAATGAGAAAAAAGCACCCTCAAGTGCCCAAAATGGTTTGCAGAAGAGAAGGTTGATTGTGGTCGTTTCTCCTTCCAAGAAAGCGGTGGCCAGTCTTGCAAAGAGGGAGCCCCCTTTTGTCCCTAAATTTATTATTTATAGAGATTAGAGCTTAACTTCTAAGCTCATTAGAGGACTTTGGTCAATATATATGAGACACAGATGAGACACTTGACTATGCCAAAAACAAAATAAATGGGATGAAATATTATTTGTTAGTATAGAAGTTCTAACTTTAAAAGAAAAATCCAAATGATCACAATTAATAAATTTCAGGATTTATTTTCCAAGAGATAAAAGATACATACAGCTATAGGTTCACTTCGTAATGAGCTCTAATAAAATTTTGGGCACGACAAGCCACAAAGTGTCAAAAAAGCGTGGCACAGCTGGCCACGGAACCAGCCGCGATCACTGACCCATTAATTTGCCAGTCAGGCTTGTTGGTACCATGACGTTCAACACATTCTTGTTTAGACACATCAAATGTTTTAAGAGAAATATACAATAATTACTGTTTCAGACCACGTCTCATGGCCAGAAGGTGTTTGACATTAATTTAGTGGTTGATAAATTTTTGTTCAAAATCAGAATATGTCAAAGAGAAATGAATTTCACTCAAGTTTTCAAAAATGACAGACTAATCAGACAAAGGCTTCTCCGAAACATTTTATTTTTCTTCAGACAGTCGTTCTTGGGTTTTTCAATTATTCCTCACTGTTTTCCATGTTTTTCCTCTCGGCCCGCAAGAGGCAAAAATGGCTTTTGATTGCAGTTATTTATAAATTTACAGCTAAACCACTTGAGACAGTAGATAATCATCAGAAGTGCCAGTTAAGAAGGGTGTAGTAATGCTGTGAAAATTCTTTTGTGTATAAATATTAGTTTCCCGCCTAAGCTCATGAATCCTCTGCTAATATTTTTAAGAAACTTGTTCAAGATTAGTTGGCATCGTAGTCAAACCTACACCTCCAAATTATTTCTTTCTGGTGTGAGTGCAACAATAATAATGATTAATTCAACCGTTTAGCATTACTTAATTACAAATACAATAAATTAGTACCAATATGCTGTTTTAACGGATCATAATAATATATAATATATGTATAGCATTAAATTACTTCTCACTTTAAATATAAAAATTAATTTAAACTATTCTGCAGCAAAGTTAATTATTACAATATTTCTCGCTAGCCACAGAATTTTCATATATATTTTTTAAATCTTCACTGCAGTGGAACTGAAGCTAACAACAAATGTGTTGAGGGAGAAATTTTTGTAAAAGGCCTTTCCAAATTCTGATATAAGTGCTTCTCAGTGCAATCAAACTAAACAGTGAAATGCTGGAAAGGCCTGGAAAAAGCTAAAATGTCCGAAAATTTTGCTTTTTGGCAGTCCCCACTTATTTACATAAAACATCTTGATCCCCTAGACACTAAAAATATGCACAAGTTTCCATTGTAAATTTTATGACATGGTGTTACACAAATTTTCACAGTTACTTTTGTGTCTCTATTCAATATTAAGTAAACAAATTTATCATAATTTACTCCACACTTTTGAGTGGACTCTGAGAAAGATGTACGGATTTGGGTTTTTTAATTTTACATTTAGAGTCACGTGCAGACCGGAAGGGATTTTGTGGTCAGTGATTTCAGGGCACTTCAACAACAAAAGGGGGAAGAAAAGGAACAGTTGCCTTAAACGGAGAGGGACACAAAGCTGTTGTACTGCTGAATGTTTCTTTTCAGGATGTCAGCGCATGGTCCGAGTACTCGTTCAAATCTGTCAACGACAAAATGCATAAGTGTTTAATTTATTTAAAAAATTAAAAGAAAAAATACCGTGCACGGTCCAACTTGACACACTTCAGGGGGCCCTTGGCCACAACGGTAGCTGCTCGTGGGCGGTCCAGTAACAAAGCAATCTCGCCTAAGAGGATTTTGATGAGGAAAATTTTTAAATTCCAAAGCATTTTTTACCAAAATAGTCTGAAGGTCCCAGTCGGCCAACTTCAACAGGTTCGTCGCCCTCTGCTCTATACTGCAAGACAAGAGCGGTGCCTTCGACAATGATGTAGAAATCATCTCCAGGTTCTCCTTGGCGGACAATTGTCTCCCTCTCGTCAAAGGAAACTGGTTCCAGGGCATCAGCAACGGTCAGGCGCTCCCATTTGTCAAGGCTCTCTGGAATTGATATAATTTAAAAAATTTAAAAAAAAATATATAAAAATTGGAATTCAAAAATAAAATTTTAAATATTTCTCACAACCAAATTTAAATCATTTGTGACAAATATTGCGTCAGTCTCATTAAAATAAAATTCTCACCAAGTATGGAGACCCTAGAGAGGAACTCGTCGTACATCTTGCGCTTTCTGATGGTTGAGCCCATTAAGATGCGACGGTAAGAGTCGCGGTCGATGCCCCACAGTTTGACGTCCGTCTTGGCTCGGACAGTGGCGGCGCGAGGAGTGCCGTAGATCAAGGCCAACTCTCCAAAACTGCCACCTTCTCCAATGGTGGTCACCAGTTCTCCATTCACAAAGACCTGGAAAAATAAATAACATTATTTGTTTACCAAAATAGTTCACTTTTTTTAAAAAAATATTCCATGATTTAAAAAAATTCTACCTCAACTTCTCCCAGATCTACGACATAGAAGTTGTCTCCCTCATCTCCCTGCTTGATGATGCTCTCGCCAGGCAAAAAGTTGACAGGGAACATGGCATCAAAAATGTCGGAGCGCTCGTTTTCGTCCAAATGTGAGAACAGGACATTCTTGGCGATGGCCTTCGAGAGAGCAGCCATGGTCTTGTAGTCCTTCGGCACCACCTGATTTTTCACAAACCCATAATTATCATTCTTTTTTAGATTCACTCAATCATACTTTTTTGACATAGCTCGTGGCATCCTCCTCGGACACTGGTTCGGCCGATATTCCACCTCGGCGCCTCACTGGCTGGTGCGCCTGAGCCGGAAGGGGCGAAAGGTCCTCCGTGTCCTCAGGACTGGCGGCTGCCTGCTTGGCGTCATGTGCCTGCTCCTGCAAATCAATAATAGCAAACTGATTAACAAAGTGGCTTGTCTTAAATTTCACTAAAAAAATAACTTTTCATCTTATTTTTGAGTGGCAGAACCTATTTTTTTTTTTTTTTTAATTAAATTTCTTTTAAGAAGTTTTTATGATTTCCTCACATTCAAAATAATAAATAGTGCAATAAAGCTTGGCATAAGTTGAAAGAAAGTGGGTAAAAAATTAAATCAATAGATAAAGACATGAGAAGTTTATGTTGATCATGTTTATTGACGACAAGTAATGGTACAGAGGGAAATTACGAACATAGGCAGCTATCGAATGTCATCGATTAAGCTAAAAATCCATAATAGAAAATGCATTTCTTTCAAAATGATCAAATTTGTTTCGTCTTACATCTAGGAACAATAAAGAGTTCGCGCAGGTCACATTGACAATCGCAATATTTATGTACAGTCCCGCGAGACAAAATTTTTCCCGCACTATTCCACAGGGTTGACGTTCTGGATGAGAGTGATGTTGTCGCCCTTCAGCATTATCCTGCCTAGTGTTTTCCGTCCTTTGTTCTTGATGTTGACCTCCTCTGCGTCGTCCAGCACCAAATTCATGTACTCATCAAAGCCTACTATGTGACCTAAAATCAGGAAAAAATCAATTATAAATCGCGTCAGAGAAAAAAAATTAAATGAAATTAAACAGATTTAAATTTGTAATAAAATTAATTTCTGCAGGCCAATTTATCAGAGATAAAAATTTTTATTTATTTAAAAAAATTAGATTAAAATAAATACAAACCTTCTAGCCTGAGGTTGACGTTCTCGTAAAGCCAGACCTGGACGCGCGATCTGTTCTGGAGGTAGCGGAAAATTAGGTTGATGGGCTGCACCATCACCTTCTGCACCTTTTGCGGACCCTTGTACGACATTTTGCCTAGTTTTTGTTACTAAAAATGCAAAATTCTCGCAGACGCCGGCTGAGTGATCCTCTCGGCACGCGTTCTCGTCATAAACAAACATGGCCGCCCGACGGTCGAGCGAGCGAAAGGCGATCGAAGCGCCACAGGGGCAGAGGCCGCAACCCGCTCTTGCGTCACGACGGGCCGGTTGCCTACCAACGGAGGACAAAGTGACGGGCACGTAAATCGGCTTGTCGCGGCTAATTGCAGGAGCATTAATGACGGAATTAAAAAGCGAGAGGCACCGATTAAGGTGATTCTTCTACGGGGTTTTGGCCAAAACTAGAAATGCTGCAATGGATTTCAAATAATTCAGATTATAAAAGTTGAACTATTGTGTGTTAATGTATCAAGTATAGAAATGATTTATTTTCGCCCCATCGCTTCTTTACAGGGGGCCAAAGTTATGTCCAAAGGTCGAAAACGGGTAAAAATCCACGTTTTTTTACCTTCTTATGCTCTTATCTTTCCATTTTGCAAAGTGAACTATATTTTTCTAGATAGCTTTCGATTCGCAAGATGTTAAAGTATCCAAAAAAAGTAAAAAAATTATACCTCTTCTGTCATTTTATCACTCCCTGAGAAATCAAATTTTTTTAATTTTAACGGGCCATTTATAAATGCTATTTCTCTGCGGGTGATAAAATGACAGAAGAGTTATAATTTTTTATCTTTTTTTGGATACTTAAACATCTTGCGAATCGAAAGCTATCTAGAAAAATATAGTTCACTTTGCAAAATGGATAGTTACGAGCAAAAGAAGGTAGAAAAACGTGGATTTTTACCCGTTTTTTATCTTCAGACATTACTTTGGCCCCTTGTAAAGAAGCGATGGGGCGAAAATAAATCATTTCTATACTTGAAACATTAACACACAATAGTTCAACTTTTATAATCTGAATCATTTGAAATCCATTGCAGCATTTCTAGTTTTGGCCAAAACCCCGTAGAAGAATCACCTTAAACTGATTAATGACGAGCTGAATGCCTAAGTGTTTGAACTTATCGGCAGTCGCCGGCCGAGGAAAGGCCTTGCTTATCTTAAAAGTGAAAAGCTATGAGGCTAATCTCAAACGCTTGAAGAAGAAACTCTTAAGAGCATACATGGCTCCAGCGCAAATTCTTCTCCAATTTTTTTTTTACATTTTTTTTAGAAATTTTAAAAAATTGTTTATTTTTAAATGTATTATTGATTTATCATTGTTAGCTTCTTATCAAATTTATTATACAGATTTTTTTATCGGACCTGAATTCAAAGAAAACAAACTAATAATAATTTTTAAGAGAGGGGATGCAAAAAAATAAGTTGTTCCAAAATAAATGTACATAAATATAAAATTATTGAAAAAATCAAATAATAAAAAATTTTAAATTAAATAAAATGAAAGATTTTTTCTATCTTCAGCGTGGCATTTACCGTTTTTAAGGGATTATATTTTTGCACTACTTCATTATTGTAAACAATAAGCACGCCTTAAGCTATTTCTGCGTGTTTGAGAAACTCTAACAATCTGCCTCTGAAATTAAGTTAAGCTCAGAACTCTGCCTGTTATTTTTGCAGTCCCTGAGGCCGGTAGGAAACAAGGCTGTGTGCGGATACCCTGAGGAAATGCGGGAAATTGGAAGAAAAACAGACGCAAACACCGACTGTGGGCGTGGGAATCGCAAATCAGGGAGCACTCTGACATTTTCCAGAGGTTCCTTCCTCTCTTTCTCTCTGGCAAGCGAGCAGGCCCTGGGGACGTGATAGCAAAAGCGAGTTCTTCTCTTATGGCAGCGTGTAATATCATCGGTCTACAAAGGACTTGACGTCCAGTGGGCGACCGGCAGGTAATAATAAAAAGAAGTTTGCACAAGGCGTGAGCCGCTCTCGTTTACTTTGCAGCAGGTAATCTGAGACGGGCCTACTTATATATCATATTAGCCCGTAAGTTATTTACGAATGTACGAACAGGCGAGTGAGTGTTTCTGAAAGCGCGGTACCGTAGGGCTGGCTTTACAAAAAGGCGAAAATCTGATTTGCTTTGGGACGTTAGTTTTTTTAAAAGTGACAAATTCTTAATTTTTCATACTTTCACCATGAAAAGTTAATTGCAAAGAACGAACCAAACCAAATTTGGTCCGCAAATTTATTTTGTTTATTTTAAAATTAATTTTTATTGTTGAAAAAAAATTGTTAAAATTTTCTCCTGAGCCGAATTTGTTAAAATCTTGATAATGAAAATTATTTAAAAATTGTAATTCCAGAAAATAAAAAATAATAAACTAAATATTGTATCAATAAATATCTTGATTAAAATATAGAAAGAATTTATTAAAAAAAATCCAACTCAACATTTTTACTATTTTTATGTTGTGTTTTTATGAAAGAAAAAATGTCCTGTATAATTCTGCACGCGTTGTTTCTTATTGATTTTTTTGCTCATTCTTGTTATTACTGGTGACCGATTTAATCTGTAGGAGTGGAGCAGAAAATATGCCCCCGCTGCGAAACAGGTGGAAACATAGCAAGGGTTAGTTGGAGCGGCGCCAAAGAGTCGGTCGTGCTCAAACTCGACACTCGGCGCGTCTCGCGTAATTGCTCCAAGCGTCGAGTGCGCTCTCGAAGACCGTTTTCCCGGAAGAAAGAAGTTCAGAAAAATCGGCGTGCTCTTCTTAATTGAGTGGAAAATTGAATCCTTGTGTGAGTCGGGCAAAAGGAAATTCAATTCGCTCCGGAATCATTTTTTCGCCTTTGCAATTTCCTAACAAACTTTGCTTCTTTCTGTACGACTTCCTTTCACCGAAAAGCAATGAACGCAGAAATGACCCAATGGCATTTCGCCAGAAAAGTAGATGGCCTACAAGATTCTTTCTTGTTTGCTACAAACAAGGAAATGATGGATTATTTTTTTTTTCTCTAGAAATAAATGATTTTTCCCCGGAGTGCTAGGTTGTGCGAAAAAGCCTCACAAATTCTACGATGTGGCAAATAAGTGGCCAACGCGATAAAAGGAAAAAATTCCAATGTGATACAACATTCGCCCCAAAAATAAAAAAGAGAAAAAAATAAAACGTTTACTGCATGGTGTTTATTTTCTGTCCAACTTGTAACTTGGAAAATTATAGAAACACTTTAATATTTTTTCAAAGTTTTGTTGCGTTTATTTAAAAATTTCTTCGTCTCCAAAGATATGAAGAAAGTGAAAATAAATTTCGTGAATATACAATTTGCAAAATGAAAAATGAAGCAAAACATTTTGTTAGAGTTACATAGAAATCTTCAATTATTGTTTTCTAATATTCTCCAAGAGTCTCAAAAAATGAGAAAAATTTAATTAAAAATTGAGGAAAGAATCGCAAAGAAAAATGGAGGAAATGAAAATGGGTCTCATTTCTGCGTGTAATGCTAAACTTAGCCGGTGATCATGTCGTCTTGGAGCCGCGAAATTGGCATTAGCGACAGGAAATGTCTGGCGACAGGAGGCATTTTGCTAGAAATACGGAATCACATGATGGTGACTGCGAGAGAATGATGAGTGACCGTCGCGCGAGACAAACAAGCCAGGGCGCCCCGGAGCCGAGAGAGCACTGCAGATTGACGTCACAGGAATTCCTTGGCACTCGCGCGGTGTGGGTGTCTGATGGGAATATTATGAACTTCTTCACGCCACTCGTTATTGGAAAGACGAGCCATAAAGTTCGGAATGCCGACGGAACAGAATTTCGGGTGCGAGAACAATCGCGTCGTCCTTCCTTATGAGGGAATATTAATGGTTTCGAGAGGGCCACCCTTGCCTTCAAGGGGTGTTGGATGTCATTTTCCCAACGATCTGGGGCACTTCACGCTGTCATTTGAGCGGCTCTTCAGAGTGATATGAAATTCCCGAATAGAATTAAATCTTCACAATAATCCATCAAAGTTTGAAAGACCTCTAGAGATTTATGATCAAATTACTTTTTAATATTGAATTATAAGTGGAATCTGAATCGATATTTATAGAAATAATATTCTAAATAAAACTTAAAATTTTCATCAGACACAATTAGTTTTTATTAAGGCGAAATCAGAATAATTAAAAATAAATTAAATTTTTCCTTTTTTCATGCAAACGGCTCAATTCAGTCAGTGCTGTAATTAAAGCAGCGGGACAGCTGAAAAAACAAGTGGGTCTCGTGTCGGGCATTACAAAACCCACTCGTTTCGCAGTCAGTCATTAAACTGGTGCAAGTGCCTGCCCATCAAAAGACAAACACGCAGATATTTTATTCAGCGGGAAGTTTTTGGGTGGCAATTGTGGTGGAAGCACAAACAAACGCGCGCAAATAACGCCTGGTCTCTTTAATTACAGGAGCGATATGAAGCGAAAATTAATTCGCACCCGGCGTGCGATAATTAGCGGGCCCAAAATTAGGCCATACCCCTCCTATTTTCGACGGAAGCGCGCCCTTGAGTGCCGGTGTTTATAATTAGCAACAGAAACACACACGACGACTTTTTATTCGCGGTCTGTTTTTGCTGCTTTCGAATGAAAACGGCAAAGCTAGAGAGGGTTGAATCCAAAATCCAAAGGCTCAGTTTCACATGCACCAATCTGAACGTGCCCTTAGCAGAAGAACTCAAACGCGAGAGATCAAAGGTTGCTTGCCGGCGCTAATTAATCTTTTCAGCGGACGTGCACATCGGGCAAAAAGTTTGCAACTCTTTAACAGCTAATTATTTTCTCCCGAGTGGAGGATGCTGAAAGGATTGCATTTAATAATTGGCTCTCTCGCTGTTGAAAAACTTGTTCTTCAAGAAGAGAGATTCCATTACACTTGCCGTGGTGTGGAAACATTAAAATTAATTAGGCGTGCGATTTAATTAAAATCCGATTCTATAGGTGTCGCTTTCAGAATTTGCACTTGCAACCCTCTGATAAGAAAGTTTTAAGAAAGTCACCTCATAAATCAAATAGTTGGAGCTGCATGAAAATAAATAACTTCTGAAGTTAATTTTATTAAATTTTGAGAGAGCGAATCGAAATTGAAAGGTAAAATTTCCATAATTGATTTTTCAATGTTAACCTCACAGTGCTGATTTTAAACTGAA